ACTAATTGATAAATCAGATATCACCAAAATGAAAATCTTTTCAAATACCATGATGAAGAATAAAAAGCCTACCCAAAGAGTGGGAGATATTTGAAAAATCACGTATTTTTCAAATACCATGATGAAGAATAAAAAGCCTACCCAAAGAGTGGGAGATATTTGAAAAATCATTTGATTTTTGATAACATTAAATATATAAAGAATATATGTTAAGGCTACTACGCTGCTATGAAGAGTGACAAATCTGAGACATTTGTACAGAAGTGGATGTACCTGGAAACTATAATAACGAGTGAAATGCATCCGACACACAAGCTTAGATACTGTATGGTATCCCGTTTGGGTGAGGCAAAGTAGAAAGTGTTACAGAATGGATAGAAGGGACAAGGGGGCAGATCTCATCCAACAGGGAAGTGGTTCAATGAGCAGGAGGGGAAGAAGTGACAGGAATAAGGACGCACACTGCACAGGACCCTCATAACCGAGCGTAAGCACTGTGCCATGACAGCAGTCAAGACAAACAGTATCAAGGAGTATGCAAAAGGTAGGGGAAGATTAGAAAACAAAAACAAGCTGTAATCTGTACACGTAATCACTCCCAAGATGACCGTAAACTGTGTAAGTTGCAAACATGTACTAATAAAAATTTTAAAGTATATGTGCGTATGTAAAGAACTCCTAAAACAAACACTGACCTAATTCAAAAAAGGTAAGGATGTAAGACGTTTCTCCAAAGGAGATATACCAACCACCAAAAAACACCTGCACATGAAAAGGTGCCGAATGTTCTTAATCACTTGAGAAATGCAAATCAAAACCAACAGAAAAATACCACCTCATACCTATTAGGAATTATCAAAAACAGTGTGTTGGCAAGGTTGTGAAGAGACTGGAGCTCCATGTACACCCACTGGGATTGTAAAATGGTACATGTGGTGACTCATCAGGAAGTCACAAATGGAATTCCCACATGATCCAGCAACCCACTTCGGGGTACTCGCTCTGAAGAACTAGAAGCAGGGACAGGTACAGATATGTATCTACCGTGTTCGTAGCACTACTCACAACAGTCCAAATGTGGAAACAGCTGTGAAGGGCACATGAACGAACACACAAGATGTGGGATACACTGGAATATTATTCAGCCTTAGAAAGCAAATTCTGACACCCAGAACACCAATGAACCCTGACATTATGCTCAGTGAAATAAGACCAAAAAAAACAAAAAAAACAAAAAAACAAACAAGGCCTCCGGATTCCACACGTGAGGTATTTATGAAATTAACACAGACAAAAAGAACGAGGCTGTGAGAGACTTGCAAGTAAGGAAAAAGGGAGCTAGTGTTTTAAAGAGTACAGTTTCAGTTTGGGACAAAGAGAAAGTCCTAGAAATGGATGGATGGATGGTGCTGGGTGGTGCCACAACCCTGTGAAGATGCTTTAGGCCACGTTACAATGGTTGAAATGCAGCTTTATGTATACTTTACCACAGAAAGAAAAACAATTTAAAGGTTTGTGAACTGTCTCAAAAGACAGGTTAGGAAGCTTTTCCTCTGCCTGCACGTGTTTGTTCCTCGTGCCTTGGTGAGGACAAGTGACAGACAGCACGCACCTGAGATGACTGCCCTGGGATGCCCGGTCCATGTGGAGCCTGCACTGTGCCTTCAGACCCCAACCCGGAGCATCCCACTCCATCTGGATACTTTCCACGCACATCCTGGTCCGCAAAGTGAAACCCGTGGCTTGGCTGTTTTAGTCAGCATCAGCGTGTCTGTGGAGGGGCAGAGGGTTGGTGGGGGCAGGAAGGGGAGGTGGTACTACGGTGCAGCCTGAACTGTGAGTTCTGGGCAACAACCGGCACTCACCCAAATTCCTTCGATTCAAAATATATGCACTTTTCTTTAGAATAATCAGAGGGAGGGAAAATGAAGGGATTAATTTAAATTTATAAAAAGAAAACTAAATCTTTTCTCATTCTAAAAAACTTCTGCCAGGCTGGGGATTTAGCTCAATGGTTCCACTGCCTGTCTCTCAAGCGCAAGGAACCCAGTTTGATCCCTGGTACCAAAAAACCACAAAACACAAAAAACGAAACAAACTTCCGCCTACCATCTTCCTATAGCCAAGTGAACCCTCTTACTGTTTAGCTGCCTTATAAAAAGGTTGGTTCAAAAGCTTGAAATAACAGAGTTCTTAGTCGATTATCAATGTTGGAAATGTGTCCTAAAAACCTGAAGCCGATTATTCCGTCCACTCCACTTTAGAAAAACCAAATTCATGTAAGGAATGTGTCAAATATATCATAAATAATCCAGGGCCTGGAACATATCAATCAATTGTGATGGAACTGCAGAAAAAACACACTGGTATCATGTAAATACCAGGTCTTAAAAAAGACAATTGTGACCAAACCGTTCTGAAGGAGGACATGAAGCAGAGCTTAGTAAACACAACTTTATCATATTAAAACATGCATTTCCATATGATTCGTCATGGAATTAAAACATTTTAGAGATCCTCTACGCTACCACTATTTAAATATTATCATCCACTTCAATGAAATCAAAATAAGAAAGGAACGAGATAAAAGGACACAAAGTGAACAGACCATAACTTTATTGAAGATTTACTTGGCTACAATTATTACAAAAAAGAAAGAAAGAAAGAAAACTAACAGTAACTGTGATCCATAAGGTGCAGCCTGCAATTTTTTTGCAGTGTGATTACTGGATGAATGAATTACACTGTATTCCTTAAAAAACAGCTACAGCATGTGATAGTAAATATTTTATTGTCAATGAAATTACGTGTTAGTTTTGCTTGATTTTAGTCATTTTCCTTCATTCTATTTACAGCAGAAAAGGCAGTAATTTTCTTTCTGTTCACCTTTGCATTTCTGTTCTGCAACCTGCTCCTGCAGTGAATCGAGTGCATCTATAAAATTGAAATTGACTATAGCTGATGCCCAAATAGAAGTGGACCAGAAAAAACAAACAAGTAATGATTAAAATATATTTACAAGTTAGTTCTGAAAGGTCATTTTCACTGCTAGTAGACAATACAGCAGTCTCCACATAAATTCCACAGATACTGCTACTGGCATTTCCGATGACTTTGAAAATGATTTTACTATTCTTGGTCTTAACACTTTTATGTTTTAAATTTCTCATCACAATATAAAATAAAGAAGTTTATTTGGAAATAATTAAATTCCATAAAGACAATCAGTGGTTGTAAAAATATACCTAATTAAGATCATCACACAGATGCTAACACACGGCTGAGCTTCTCCTCCAGACAATGCAAACGCGTTCAGGGCTCAAACAGAGGTTTGGATGCAGATAAACGAAGATCCGTAGTCAGTCTGCTGTCTTACATTTTATGTAAAAGGATTAGAACCCCAAACTGAGTAAAACTGGGCCTTAGGAATGAGCTATGGTGGGCCTGGGTCTCCACCCTTCTCCAGGTCTGCAGCCCTGGCCGACTGCAGGTGCCAACTGAAGAGCAGACGGCTGGGTGAAGAGCGCTCCCAGGGACAGGGATGGAACCAACAGAGCCAAAGCAGTCTCGAGTCTCCCGCTACTTAGGTAAAGGGATCTGAGTCTTTCTGAGGGCGAGCTACTATTAAGGGAGTAAAAACATCAGTATGTTAAAGGTGATTACAGGAGTATTAACGGTCATTCTCAATTTAATCATTTCACATAATGCCAAACAAAAAAATATAACAAACATTCTTAAAACATAATTCGGAGTTAACAAATCTTTGCCATACGTTCACAAATAGTAAAAATGCCACAGACAAAAATGACCTATTTAAGTTGTGCAAGTATATGACACATCGCAGGCATTATAATTATCTTTTTAAAATTCAGTAAATTAGAACAGCAGCAAGGCCAAACCACATGTTCTCCTCTCAGTTAAGCTTCTGTTTCTTGAAATGAGGTAAAGCATGGTACCAAGTGCAATGCTTATCTGTGCTACATGAACAGAACAGAGGGGGAAAGCTATTCAAATGCAGCATAGTTAGGACTGCAGAAAGTCTATTATAAACGAAATAAAAACATTTACAATGAAAGTTCATGCCAACTGACCTGTACACCATCATCATAAGGAATTTCTGCAGCTGCTTTTTCAAGCTGCACCTCGCCAGTCCATTACACATGAGAGGGGCCATAGCCACACCCACCAGCCATGTCTACACTACACTCTGTCTCACACCGCAGTCACAGAGCCAAAAGGATGTACACATTTCGCAAAGTGGGGCAACAGAGAATGATGTTTTTCTTAAGTGACAAATGCAAAACATCTCAACAAACTGGGGAAAACTGGACAGCATTAAAATGCAGCAGCACAAAAGCGTTCATAACCATTTTGCAGGTCTAACTTATACATTTTATTTTTTAACTTAGCCACCAGGGGATCACAGAATAGTTCAAACTGTTAAAATCAGCTATTTTTCTCCAAAAGGGAGGGGGCTAAAGTTTGTCACTGATAAGACAATTTGATGGTAGCAGGAAATGTGAACCCCTGAGAATATATGACCTAATCATACCCAAGTCTAAACTTTTAGTATTAACACAAAATACTCTTCTTAAAGATTATAAAATATATCTTCTTCCACCAGGACTCACAACTGTGAAACAATCTGATTTTGGTGCCAAGAGGCAAGAGAATCCTGTAACCTGGGATGGGTGCATTACACACAACGCAAAGCCCTAAGCTCTTGGCATCAGGTAGTTTATAAATTAAGAGATCTGTGATATGATCACAAATCACCCTCATAAAACTCTTACCCAGCCTTACTTGTTAATTGTATATTTTACAGTTATATAATTCAAGAACTACTTGGTTTTAACTTGCCATGATATCTCATATTAAGGTGGTGTTTTCTATTTTTTTAAATAAAATAGATATCTAAGGTTCCAAATCAGAATTAAACATTTTGAAAACAAATCACCTCCATTAATTTGCTTAAAAACTCATTTAATACTTTAGATCTCAATTTAAATTTAAGGTCAGAGATAACAAGTTAACCTTGGAGAAGGCTCAACACCCCCTTCACCCAGGGCCCCTCCGAAAGCAGAGCCAACAGTTTCTCTGTGTGCACACAGGCGTTTCTCTGAAGGTGGATGGTGCAGGAAAAATCAACTGTAATTTAAAACACAAATGCAGCATTACATGAAGCATCAACTTCAGAACATTGTGCTGGAAAACGAGACCTCTGCTCAGCTTTCTTAAACTTCAAGCATAATTAATGGGGTAAATTGCAGCAAACCTCTACTGGTACATTGATGAGAGTGCAAGACTGACCCACAGCTTTGAAAAGGTAAATTAAGAGGTATTATAGTTACAGTGCAAAAAAAAAAAAAATTACATTTTCAAGCATAATACATAAACATAGCACCAACAGGGGAAAAAAATGCATGCAAAAGAAAAGAACTGAGGTATTTAAGTGAAGAGTGCCCTACAAGTCTAATTAAAGAAACTTAGGCAAATGCCTAAAAATGTTTTTTTGTCTTTTTCCTTTTTTCCCAGGATGGAAATAATGAGCTAGTTTATCTAAATTAATAACCTAAATCACAGATGTATCAAAATTATGGCAGTTTATCTCAAACTTCGTTAAACTTCCATGGCATTAACAGCACAGCTTTGGTAGGTGAAATACGCATGCAACATATGAAAAGCACAGTTAAGAAACTTATGTGAGAAGACTAAGGTAAAGGTGCTCTGTTTTGTTTAACTAAGTAACCAATCGATTATAAAATCTGCAGCATATTTTAGGTGTGATATGTCTAAGGTTTATTTTGTTAGAACAACAGCCTACAGGGCAAAATTTGCCACAAACATTTCCACCAGTGGAACTACCTAACAGGGGCTTTTACCAAAACTGAGTATTTAACCAAAGATCCATTTTATTATGACGTTTAAGAAAATCCAAAGACTACATATTCTGGTTGTTCAAATGTCTTCAGTACACATGACAGAAATGCTAGTATAATCCTGTAATAATTTAAGGTACAATGACACTGGCGACTATAAATATTACTGTCTCAACATCTAATGCATGAAAAATGAAGGGAATATAAAATAGTTCATTCCAAAAGGTCAGAAATTAAAAAAAAATACCCATGAAGATTTTACTTTTAAGGCAAGAACCTTTGTTATGCAAGACTATGTGGCATCGGAAAACTCAAATTTGATACACCAACATGCCAGCCAATGTTGAATGAGAATCTGTCCCTTACTGTCAAGTGCAATAGCGACCAGGAACATCCTTACACAAGGTAACACGGAAAGAAGACAACGCTGGCACATAGCTCTTGCAAACCATATTGTTCTACTGGGCTTTCCAACGATCACAGGACTGGCACCATGGCACAGATGCAGGGGTGTTCAGAGGCTCTACTCAATCTAGGGGCCGTTGTGAAGTTTAAGCTCCATGGCATCCTTAACACAAAGCAAAGCAGACAGAAAGTACACACACACACACACACACACACACAGAAAACAAAATAAAACAAAACCAAAACCAAAACCTGTCAATAATTATTCTGACCATTTGCTAAATGTCACCATTAAAGCACTCTTGTGATTTCAACAAAGCAGAAGTGAGGAAAGAAGACAAGATTGTGTCTGCGCAAAAAACTAAAACTACAATTAGTTCCAAAAGTTTTATACATACGTTAAATGTTTTATTCTGTCATCTATCTTGTTACCAAACAGATTTTAAATTCTGCTTTCAATTCATTCTGCTCAACATCCATTTTAAATCACCCTTCTGATTCAAATATTTCCCCTTAATCCTGTTTTTTGGGGGGCTGTTTTTAAAAGGGGCTTCAGCTGTTGGGAACCTGAGGTTGATTAGCTTTGAGGCTTCGTAGGGCTCTTCGTGCTGCTGCAGATTTGGCAATCCTATAACTTCGGCCAACACCTTTAAATTTCCCCTTTCCCACTACTTCCACGGTGACTCTGACCTTCCCATCGTAAGTCCTCTCAGCCGGGCTGTAAAAAACCCAAACAGCTTGAATTAGAAGTCAGAAGTGTTTACTATCATTGTCGGCCCACAGGCCAAGGCAAGCACCACGCACAAGCTGCAATGTACAATAGGACTTGTATAGGCCACCGACAGACAGGGCTGCTGTGTCTTCTTTAATTCAACTTTGCTTTGTAAAACCAAAAGAAGAAATGAGCACTCAGACTAAGAATGTTGCAGTGTAAATATTTTTCAGAACCATTAGTTTACGGTATCTTTGAGAACTGTGTGTTTCCGTACACATATTTTGCTTACCTAAATTTGGCAGTTTCTGGTTCCATTTCAAGTAATTCTCGCACAGGGGAACGGGGCACATTTGCAGAAAACTTTTCTGTTATCAAATTGAAAAAACAGTATGAATAATACTCTGGAAGTATGTTTTAATTTTGTTTTTGTTTCTTTTGAAAAAGAGCCAACAATACCTATTAGCGGCCTCATCATAGGATAGTACACCTGCCAGACCATTTCCAGTGACATCCCGCTATCCATGTAAATGGCACCAGCGAGTGATTCGAAAATATCCCCCATGGCCTTTGGGACTTCAATGTCCTCTTCCTTCTCTTCATCCTCCTCGGATCTCCTAAGCTATTATAGAGAAAAGTGACTCATAAGCAGAAAGGCCATTTTTTATTAATGACTTCTGCTTTCTTACAGTTTTCTAACAGTGTTATTATTTATTTAACAAGGGTAACAATAGATTCATTTATAGCATACCTACTACAATGTAACAGGTTTTCGCATAAACACCATTTTATCTTTAAAAAAAGAAATGAAAAAAATTCCTACCCCATTTAGTATTCTATACCTAGCAAAAGAAAAAAAAGATTACTTCTAAATTAAAACACACACATTCAATACAGAATTAGAAATAAAAGTAGTCAATAAATGTATGGGAAAAACTTCTCAAATTCACTGGGAAGCAAAGGATTGCACATTCCAACAGTTCTCGTCCCAGGGCTTGGCAAGGGCTGGCCAGGGTGTTCCTCAGGACAAAGCTGGCCTGGCTGGCCTCACACTGCTCTCGTGGCAGGGAAATTCTTTCTGTAAGATTCTTCCCTCCAGGCTCTCATGTCTCTACAACAGAGTTCCTAACACATTGTAGGTACTGTAGTCAGATTAAGAGAATAAAATCTTATGCATGTAACAAAAGCCTCTTGAAAGTTCTTAATTCCTTGATGTACCAATTCTGTCTCCCTGAACTTATCTTTTAAAAAGTGGAGATATATATCTCTATAGAGATATATATCTATACCTATAGATATATATATCACTCCCATGTTTAGTAAAAATCCTAACTAAAAGCCATAAAGGATCATTTAAACAAATCAGCCATATACTGACTAGAATGTGACTACTTAAAATCTTAGTGCCAAGCAATACATGGAAAGTCAGCTACAATACATTAAATAGAAAGAATAGATTCACTACGCACATATAATTCCATTTTCTACTGTATAAGTTAACCCACATATATATCAACAGTAATGCATCCCAAAAGGTTGACACTCAGGGTAGTATAACTAGATGACTTCATTTAATTTTTTACTTGCATTTTCTAATGTTCCTAAAACACAGATTATTTGTGAGATTTAAAGATAATAGAGAAAAACAATTTCTAAATAAACTGTTAGCCACACAAATTCTATACATTTAAAATCCTGACTGCTAGCAAAGATGATTGTTTCTATCATGATTTTTAACTAAAAAGGAATTTTAAAATTTACCAAGCTCAGTTCTCTCCATTTACAGCTGAGACCCAGACAGAAAGACTTCAGATCAAATACTGCTACAAAAGCCAGACTATGACATTTCTAATAAGTGTTTGTAACTTCCATACATACATTTATATAAACAAAGGGCAATAAAAGAAAAACAAGAACAGGACCAGGATGCCCCACAGGCATCAAAAGAGAACTTAAATCTCATTTCAGCAAACTCCTCACGTTTAGCCCTAACCCCTCCTCGAGGCAGCCAAGGAAGGGTGCTGGAGCACAGAGGAGATTGTCTCCCTGTGCGCTGTGTACTGTGCCCCCTGCACCACTCGCTGTGGGCATGTGCCGAGCAGCGCAGCAGGAGCCCTGCCTGTGGACTTGTCCTGCACACAACCTGCCGCTGCCCCAGGACCAGATCTCAGACCCTACACCAGTCGCAGCGAGAACACAACACGTGCACCGTCAGCAGCCTGGCCGTTAGCACTGAAAGCCCTAAAAGGTCCCCTATCACTGACCTAGACTCTCTTTTTTCTCACAAAAAGCGAAAGAAACTCATGATTCTCCAAAAACCAATGGGATAATATTTTTTAAAAAAGAGAAGGTACTAATTAAAGCGAGAACAAGTAAAGCAACTACAGAGTTAATATATTCTTTGACTCTTTATAAGAAACTTACCAAAATAAGGAAATGAAAGGCATTAAAAGGGGCAGAGTAAGAAATATGAGTGCTCTCCTGGGTCCACAGGTATGCAGATGGCTGCTACCGACAATCTGAGGAGACTGGCAAGACTGGAGCAGGATCCTTTCCTACAAAAATTCTTAGCTCACTGTGTACACACTGGAATTAGCTCCATCACCGAAGAACCTTTGGCTGAACTTACAGTAAATGCCTCCCAAATTTCAATGGTTAAAAATTTAAAAGTTTGGTTTTTAAATGAGATTTTCCTACTTCAAGTAAAGCAGAATATATATTTGTTATGCTTACCTGAGGTATCAAGAAATATTTGTTCTATTTAAAAAAGAAAGAAGCTACACTGACTTTGACTACGGTCAGGCTCTTCGGGGAAGGAGGGGCCACTTGGCACATCTGATCTGGAAGCCTCAGTGCGGGCTGGGACACCTCACTGAATACGGCTACTCCCGCCCTCCACCTGAGCGGCAGCACAGCACTCTCTGCGGGCAGAGGCCTCCCACACACTGAGGCCGTGCTCGGCTCTCCCCATTGTGTTGCACACGGGCTCATGGCCCTGACTGGCAGCTGCTCAGCTATGAAATCAGAGCTCAAACTACTGTGATCCCTACTTGGATGTCTTCCTTCGACACTGATTTCAGTGCAGTTTTAAACAGCACTAACCTCAGAATCCATCCCTTGCATCTCGTTCTTCTCAAGCTGAAACTGCACAAAGTCATCAATGACGTGGAAGAGCTCGGGAGAAACAGCTTTGAAGTACTTATGGTAGTCGTACTTCACAGCCAGGGACGCGAAGATGGTGTTGTTGACCAGCGCGGAGCGCAGGTCAGTCAGGACCCCAGGTGAGTGCTGCCGTGGGTCCTCGTAAAGGTGCTTGGTTATGAGGTAGTCCAAGATCGCATCTCCCAGGAATTCTAAGCGCTGGTAACAATCTGCATGAGGATCCAAAGAAGAATCAGCCTATGCAAAAATATTCATATACTATCCATGTACAAAGCTGACGTAAAATTCTCATCCCCAGGCCCATTTTAAAGTTTTCTACCTAGGATCATTTTCTCATGTCTTCCTCAATGAGAAAATTATTTGACATATCATACTTATTGGAGCTTCTGTAAAGTAAATTTTAATGGCAATTTAAAGCCAATTTCTTTAAAATAAACTGGGATTGGGGACAGGGATGTAGCTCAGTGACGTGTGCCATGCCTGCTTGGCAAGTGCAAGGTCCTGAGTTCGATCCCTGGTTCCATAAATAAATAAACAGACTAAACCGGGGTCATAAAAATCATTAAGTGGCCAATAGACTAATGTTTATTAAGAACAAAAGTGCTTTGCCAGGTATGGTCACTGTCCCTGGTGTCACTCTGGAGTCTCCACCACACCAGCACTCAAATGTGGCAGTTACTTGACACCACTCCTCACCACTCCTGAGTTACATGTGTTACACAGGGTGACCACGAGGAAAAGAACACTCTCTTCTCAACTTGAACTAGAAATGGTGACTCTGACACAATCCAAGACACTGAGAAAAAAGAGCAAAGGCCTTAGGCAAAAATGGCTGTCAAAATGTGAGATTATCAATGCTAAATGACATTACTGATTTTCTCATAGTGTCAAGAAGAACCCAACCTGCTGAGAAAACTGAGGCAGGGAAAACGTGGTGCTCCCAGATGCTCGGACTACCCACTGAGTTAGGAGGCAAGGGCTGCACCAGGCTAGATCCAGGTCTTACCACTCCCAGGAATGTGTGGGAAGCCATCTATCCTGTCTTCTCCTGAGAGAAAATCAGACTTTCTCATCCAGAATCAAGAGAGGTTTTAAGCTTTTTGGTTTTATATTAAGCAGATCATCTTAACCTATAGTATTCTTTTTGTTATATATTCTGCATACTTCTGGCTTTGCTTGTTATTTTGGATTTAAGTACTTACTACTCTTGTTTGTACAAAAAACAAAATACAAACTTTATGTGTGTTTCAGGTTGATTTTTGTTTTGGGGACTCACTCCCTTTCTACTCTTACAGATTAGGGGCTTATTAAATAAAGCAGGAGAAAAGTCACAGAGCACAATGGAAAGTAAAAGTTAACAGCAGAGTCAGCGAAAGCACAATGTAACCTTCCTATGAAAATTTTTTTATTTTGCCATCTTTGCATAAGAAAAGACCCTGAGAGGGGATCCTTTTTGCCCTCAACAACAACAACAACAACAACAACAACAGCAGCAAAGGTATAGAAACACATGCAGAGCATATGAAAAAACCAAGAACCAAAATCAGCATTAGACAGGCATCAGAAAGCTATCTGGGTAGAAGTAGATGGGCAAACACTGCAAAGTACTAAGGCCCAAATTTCTCTTAACTATGCAGCATATATACAATGACAACTACACAAGTAAACAAGATCACAGTACTCCCAAATGTCAAAGTTACAAAACGGTTAATGCTCCCATACAGACAAAAAAAATAAATAAAGATTTCTTTCCCCCAACCATGCATATTAAGCACAAAGACTGTACTGCAGAGAACCTTTCATCGCAAAGGCTCTATAACACAATCAACACAAAGCCTCTTTTTCAGGGACGGCAGGATGACCAGAGGCTCCTTACCAGTGATAGTGTTGTAGTGATAGGAAGCATGGGTAAAAGCCTGCAGAAGGTAAGCCTTATTCTTGAATCTGTAGTTGATTTTCTTCTCAAAGTTTTCAAATCCTGATATAAGATGAGTCAGGGTTTTATCTGCATCTGGATGGTCAAACATACACCTGGGTGGGATCTTCAAACAGCCGTACTCCAAGTCTTTCCATGCAGAGGAGCATGAGCTGGCCGCAGCCACAGAGGCATAGCTCCCTGAAAGGCTCTTTTGTTGGCTGCTGAAATTCTCCAGAGCAGGGCACAGGGCCTTTTCCCGACCAGTCCTTTTAATTACCGGGAGCACCTTCAGCCCCAGTGAACAGAGGAAAAGCTGAGCAGCCCTCTCGCCACAGCTGGTTAAATAGCAGCCCAGCAGAGCTTCCACACAGTCCGCTATGCTTTTGTCAGCAATGCACTGCTCGGTGTGCAAGTCATAAGAAATGGACTGTTTTCCTGTGTCAACACCACAGTTTTCTTCTGATGGATTCCAGAACCCCACCACGAAGTCATCCTCTTCAACAGCTTTGCTAGGATCCAGATAGCACATTGCATCCCAAGAGCTGTAGTCGAAATCCTCAAAGTCTGATGAAAACGGCATACTACCTATGGAGGATTTTTTGGGCATTTTCCACTCATATGCAGAATCAGTGGTTGAAAAAGGAGAAAGAGAAATTTTCTTTACAAAAGCTCCTGATCCCATTAACATGTTATCAATAAACTTGATATGTTCCTGATCATACTCCAGGAAGTCATCTTCATATTCAGCTTCCTCCTTTGGAGCCCTCCACATCAGGTCCTCTTCCTCCTCCTCCTCCTCCTCCTCTTCCTCCTCTTCTTCCTCCTCCTCCTCATACTCGTCGTCCAGTTTGCCATTAGCCAACATGCAGTCTTTTGTCTGAAACAAGGAATGGGGAAGGAGGGGAGACATAGCTGCTGTTTTTAAAAGGGTTTGAAACTCAATAAAAGCAAGGGTTACGGATAATTTCAAATGACAACCACAAATACTAAAAGGCAACTTTCAAATCATGGCCATTTGTTTTCAATTAACATAAAATAAGTTATTTAATCATATAAACAAAGTAAAACATGTTCTTTGAATGTTCATTTTCTAAGTTATAAAACAAACTTTATCCAGTACGAAGCTTAAAGTTAAGCATTTTGAACATGGATATAAAGTTAAAATTAATGTCCATAATGTGAAACCTCAACTAAGAAGCCTGACTCTGGCAGGACCCACAATGAAGGCACTCATGCTGATCACAGGGTTATTATATTTGTCTGACGAGGTTTTAAAACATGGTGACCTGATTTTCAAATTAATAAAATGAAGCTCCAGATGTAGAAAAAAGCATCATCTTTTTAATTAAGGGTATAATCCAAAAACAGAAAGTATTTTAAAAATTTTATAACACCCCCCCCAAAAAAGGCAGTAGGATTTTATAATAAAGTTTTTCTCCCTACTTCCACTTCAAATCAAAGTAAGTTTGCTACAACATAGAACTAAACTGCTTTGCTAAAAAAAAATAAATGTGACCACTGAAGCTATGAATTTTAAGAAATTATGCTTTTCCCCTCTACCCTGAGCTATAATAATCAGGGCAACAGATTATAGCATAACTGACAAAAATAGAAGAAAATTTAAACTAACATGAAACACAACAATCCAATTTCTGTCAAAAGATCCTTCCTAATTCCAATTTCTTTGGCAAAAGCTTATTTGTGAATGACAACCTTAATAACAGGCTAGGCTTCGGTGCTGATGTAACTTTTTGTAATGCTAGAAAGATGCCAAATTTCTGTTACCCAAGTTTTAAAAAACCAACAACAACAAAAATACTACTTTCTTTGGGGGGAAAGGCAGGAGGGGCACACTTCAATTTTGTAACAACGTTCCTGAGTATTCCGACAAAATGTTTTTCAAACTGTCTGCCAAGCCTTTTTCTAAGTAATGCAAGTATTTCATTTTAAACCAGACTCAAAAGATAGAAACACTATGTTTGTCTGAAAAGAAATTAACAACAGTAAGGCAAGCCATACATTTATGACTATACATCTTTCAAAGTTTTGTGGCGGAGCAAAGTTTCACATTTATTAAAGGTAGGGGAAAAAACAGGCTGTGTACAGCAAGTTTGGGCCAAGTAAAAGTAGCAAAAAATATTTTTAAACAAAGACCCTACACCAAATCGTGGGCTATCATGAAGAGACACCACAGCCCACCTTTCAAACTTTTAAATTAAAAAAAATTTTTGAAGAATAAAGAACACTGAAAGAAATTATAGTGGCAGACCTCAAGGAACTACTTTTTGTTAAAACCCCTACATTTTTTCAAAGTAACACAAGATGGTTTTGACTAATGTTTGGAGCTGAAAAGAGGGCAAATTACAATTTTAAAAGTCAGGCTGAATAATTTAAGAATTAATCTTTCAATAAGTTTTTCAGTAAGATGCTGGTGTAAGCTAAAATTGGCAGTGCACAAAAACATAAAGAACCGGCTTTTATCAGGAATAAACAGTGTAATCATGGGTAAAGTCCTTTAATGTCTCTAGCTTTCAGATTTTTTTAATCCATAAAATAAGAGGCTGTACCTCATGAAATGTTCCCTGAAATCACATCAAGCTCTTTCAGAAAAAAATAATGGAGTGCAAGCCTTTTCTCTTAGAACAAGTCACCCCCACAAGAGTTAATACTGAACTCTCCTTCCTTTGGAGGCATTCTTATGCAAAGGTGTAGCCCACACCCATCTACTGCCCACCAGGAGGAAGGTGGCCAGCACAGGAAAAGCAGAAGCAAGAGAACACAATGGAGCTTTCCCACGCAATGCAAGGGCCCACTTCAATACACACAAACCAGTGAATCAAAGACCGAACAGTATTTTTAATCTATTACAAAAATCAAAATCCCAAGTCATCACAGACAATAAAGAAAATAAAAACTTCATGTTTTATTAAAAAAAATAAAACTGACACGCCAATATCACCTTTATGCTACATTTTTTTAGAGTCAAATATATCATGAAACAGTATTTATAAAGGACAAATGCTATTGGAATGTTTTTCATAGAAATGCAATGTTTTTCTAAAGCTCAAAACTTACACACTTGCTACTAAAGTTTTATGTATTTACAAATTAATAACAAATGTAATTTTTGACCTATTTATAGTAAAACATTCTCTTAACCTCCTTCCATGTAAGTTCCATTTTTGCAATAGGCCAAACAGTTTATGAATTTAAAATGTGCTCAACAAATACAAATACTTAAAACATATCTAGGATCTACAGGTCAAAATGAAGGTATGAAGAGTACACTATTTATAAAATATAACCTGTGGGGAAAATGGTGTCATCATTGTCAGCCTAAAGTAAAAGCCAACTATGTAAAATAAATGTAATGTAAAATAAATGTGGAAAGCAAAGCTGCCGGAAGGCCGGAAAGATGGTCTGGAATTTGGAAGCAGCGCTAGGTCTCCCAGCCACCAGCTCACTCACTGGCCTTCAGCGCCTACAGTGCAGAGGCCCCAGCTGCCCTCTGGTGGCCTTCAGGACAAGACAAAGGGAAGCAGCTGGTGCTAAATACGAAGTTTCTGAAATCACTGGCAAGACTTAAATGATTTCCAGACGACTACAACCTTAGGGTAGATGATTTTTTTTTCAGTTCACAAGAGGAAAAATTGTCCTGAGAAAACCATGTACGAGTTCTACTGAAACTAATTATTTCAGACACAGCTCAGAGATTAGAGGGCACAGTATAGCCACTTCATTGAACAGAGAAGGATCTAGTAAATTGTGATACCTAACAGTACAGTGAAACTTTAAGGTTTCTCCGTCCCCTAGTCAAAACATAATGAAGTGTTCTGCCTTTGGAAAAGGAAGATAGAAACTGTCCTCCATCGAAATTATACAACTGATATTTCTACACACACAGAAGACAGTTTATTTTAAGAAGTTAATTTACTATATCAAATATTTACTCTCTTGTATATATTTGTAAGTGCCATGAAAACAAAAAATTGCACAAAATTGTCCAGCTCACCAGAAACTAAATGCCTCCCAGTTACCAAAAACTTACCATTTCATCTTTTTCCCATTTATCAGTGTTACTTTTGTCTTGATTTACTACATAACCAGGAGGAAGCCAATTCACAGGGGGATCAAATATTGACACCACCATGCGGCTGGGCAGTCCCTTCTTTTTGCCAAGGCGATAGAGATTACAGTTGCTGACCTTTGGCAGAAAAGATTCATTAAACACATCCATAAACGATCACTGCTGAAAATCCTACAAGGCATGTTAACATATTCTAGGCTAAATGTCCTACATTACTATTATGACTGTTCACCACACAGTTTTGCTACCTACTTACAATAGGAAAAGAATTTTAGATTCCCAAGTGTAAACGTTAGTGTAAATGTTTTTATATACAAAACGCAGTCTGCAAGAATCTATTTAAACCTCTTATAAACCAAAAGAAATGGTTTAATTTCAAAATTTTAAAAATACAACTTGATATAAAATGCAAGGTGCAAATTGGATCTATCAGAGTACACGAGAATATATTACAAAATTCAAGATATTACATTATCCTCAATGAATTAAGGGGAAAATACCATCAACCATAGTCACAAAGTAGAAATTGGGGTTGCAAAGAGTGAAAACCATGTTATATTCCCAGAATCTAAAGCACAGATGCGATTTCAACTGTAACATTTTCTCAAATACTATTCCTTTGTTTTGGATGGCGTTTTGAGACATTTTTGATCAATCATTTCAAAATGGAGCAAAGGTAATAAAGAACATTTGTTTATTCATGTCAATCGAATGGCTTTATTGTCCACCCTCCAGTCTATTTGCTTTTCCTGGGCCATCTTTATCTCTTCCCTCATTCGCTCAAATCAGTATATTTTTGTCTCATTTGTACTTGAAGACTGGAGTCTAGAACTGTTGCTCACAATTCTGTTTTCTAAAAATTTGCTATTGAAGTATTTCATGAGCTCTTTTCCACATAACTCAACTACTACTTAGCACCCCTGCTGAGCAGCACTTGGCCAGGCAGCCCAGAGGGGACATTCAGAGGGATAGAGAGCAGTCCCTGCAAAGTACAAAAAGCAGCAAGGGAAGGGGCTGCTAGGACTGAGTACTTGAAGCCCTTTCCCTACAGTCTAAAGTGCAACTGCTCAAATAAATGTTACTGCCCTACATTACTCTTCCATACTAGGAGAGTAAGGCAGCACAGAATGATGATGTGCAATGGGGACTCAAAGGAAGGGACAGCACATTCAAAGCTGTGGTTGGCAGGATGGAGAAAGGAGAAAGAAAAGGACTCAGGTATAAAGCAAAACTCAGGACAAGCAGAATGCAACAGGTGGCAATGGGAGAAGGCTCACAGAGAGAAGGACCATCAGCGTAGCCCCAGGGCTGGGAGGTGACTCTGTGGGCTCTAAGGAGGGAGCAGGAGGGCTGCAACCTGCTCAAGGCCTGCCAGGCAGTATCCTGACCAACCCTAACACCCGAGTCCTTTCTGGGGAAATCAGGAGTCAAAGCACATAAATAATGTATGAATTTTTACAACATAAAATAACCTGTTTCTTAATTAATAAAGTGTACTATTTCTTACTTCACACTCTCAGGCCTTGACAGCTTCTTCCTGCAACCATACCTTGGAAATTCCATTTGTCCTCAGTGCTTCAACTATCACTCTCAGGAAGACTAGTCCCCAAAATGTATCTGAGTCCTAAATCCTTGATTATCTGAACATTCTCACTGCACAGTCCATAAGGCCCAAAACCCCGATCTTAACTGACTTCCCTCATCTCCCCTCCCCACCCACAATTCACTGCCCCAGTGCCCAGCTTCCCAGCTTCTCCAGTTGTTATCTGGGCATCACCAGGCTGCCTCAAGCATCCAGAAGAAACAGCACTCTCTGGTCTCAGACACACTGACTATCCTGGCCCCGCAGGATGACCTTACACCTTAGCTTTCTAGGGATCAGTTTCCTCATCTGCAAAACAAGGACACGTTAGCTGCCTTTCAGAGGCTTATGGAGAAGATTATGCAGGACAGTATTTCTAAAAGGCTGTGTCCCACCTTGTGTCAGATAATACCAGACGCAGCGGAATGATAGTAATATGACAGTGAAAGACAAGGGCTCCAAAACCAGACTGCACTCCATCCCAGCCCTGCCCCTTACATACTATGTGACCGACCTTGAGCCAAATGAACCTCTCCTGCCTCAATGTCCTTATCTATACAATGGGGATAAGAAAAGTATACAACCCTCCAAATTATAGTAAGAACTCATTTAGGCAAGATATAAATAACTAGAGTTGGGTCTGGCAGAATAAGCCATTGTGTTAGCTAAATTTATCGTTTCTTCTGAAATTATCACTCACCTCATCCCTTCCTCACTACCAAAACTCTAGGCCCATCCCATTTTCTGCTCCTGCTTTTGATTTTGTTTTGCTTTTCAACCCACATTACATGCTGCTGCAAGGTTAGTCATTTCAAACTATTTATTCATTAACAAAATCCCTTTGTGCAGTGTCTACAGTGTTCAGACTACATGAAAGACTTGGGCCTGGGGCCACCCAGCATGGGCTTACACGGACTACCAGTCTTAGTGCAGCCATTTCCATTCTTCCAGCAACCCCCCGCCTTTATCCACTGAGTGAGCTAACTTGCTCTGTTGTTTTGTCTGCTCAGTGTGGCTCTGTACTGTGAATGTACCTTTTGCATTAATGGCTTCCCTGACTCACAAGTGAGAGTCTTTCCTCCTGAGCAGCTCTGTAAGCTTTTTAAATTATTCACCAAGGAGCCCACATTGCCTTGTGGTACCTGTTACTGTCATTTAAATATTGCACCTGAACTACTTTTTTCTACATTAAATTTATGAATGTGCCCTGCCTCGTGCCTATTAAGCAGTCTCTGTACACTGGTATTAACTGAGTTCTGTGAAGTCTTTTCTTTTTCTCCTGCATACTCCCTGGAACTTTACAGAGGATCTCCTTGGAAGACTTTGTCTTACATGTGGACACCTGTGTGCCAAAATACACCCTTCTAAGCTCTCCTGGGTTAAAGCATGAGCCCCTTGAACTGACTGCAATGTCTAGATGCAATGCCTTGACTGCAATGCCTGGATACTTCTCTCAGGATCTGGGTACAAACATTTGCACAAATGGGCACATATGAACTGAACTTCTTCAGTAAATAAGGAACACGGCAGTGAGTTAAGCTCCAAACCTGAGTGTGTCACCAGCATAAAGCACTCAAGTTACCTGCTGGCTGGTCCTCCATGGGCTTCAGCTGGCCCTGGCAGAAAAATGGAGCAATCTCTGGGAAACACTTCCCCATGCTCTGAGGTTCCCCAACACATCACTCAATTCTCAGGCACAATGAAGAATTATCTGCTCAAAATAAGAAATCATAACTTACCTTTTTGCTTCTCATATATGAAAGGCGGCCCTCATGAGCATCGGGGTAAGTGCAAAATAGGTATGTGGTGATGGCATGCTTTAAGAAGGAGTCACCAAGCATTTCAAGCCGCTCCAGGTTGAACCCATCACTAGCATTGGATAAAGTCAGAGCCTGAAGAATCAGTCCAGGATTGGGGCCAAGAGTCCTTGAGGAGTACCCAAGAGCAGGGCTCCGCTCAGAATCCATCCTGTCCTTGAGCACTTGAAAAGCATCTGTTGTACCGAGCATGGCAGCCATCTCGGGACTTCCATCTGAGGTAGATTTGTTAGCATTTCCATCAAGGTATTTATTACTCAGTAGAGTACATTCATCACTGGGCTTGGGCTGGTTCTCATAATTGTATAAATTCTGAATGGAATATGAGGTAGTTGGTTGTACAGGTATTTCCTGCTTGTAGTAATTCAGCTGATTTCCTTGGCAAAAGTCTCTGTTAGCTAAATTGTAACTGCCATTAGCCAGATTTTTATTGTATGCAAGACCATTAATTGCTGTAAGATCTGTCGAAACTTCAATTTGGAGCTTACCAGATGACTCGCTGAGTAACGTTCTGCAGTTCACAGACATTTGGTCATGATTTTCTAAGGAGGTTCTATTAGCACCTTGATGTGCAGCATTTTCAGGGACTACAAATGTGCTATGCTTACAGTAATTATCATTTTCAGCCAAAGAATTAGAAATTGAGATGAAAGATTTGCTGTCAATAGATTTTTTCCACCCGAAGTCTAAATTAGGGTATCTGCAAAGACATTTTTATAGATTTCATCAGATCCTTAAAAAAGACTAGGCTCAGAGAGTTATAGCAACATGAATTTTTAAAAAATATATAGAGAATGCTATAAAAATACACCTACTTTAGAAGAGGAACAAGTTTCTAAGCCATACCTGGATCACTCTACTGCTTTAATACATGTACGACAGGGACGTAATCCTTACATCTTACCCCACTGATGATACATACCTGTCCCATTGGGTGGCATAGGACAGTCATGCCCATACCAGTGGCAGTCAAGTCTATGGGGAGGGGTTGATCCCTACCCCAGAGCACAGCATAGAGATTGAGAAGATCACAGAGCCCAGAAGTAGCCTTCGGGGTCTGGATCCACAGAGCTCAAGGATAAAGCCACATGCCTGAATAACCAGGAAAGCAACTTTGGACAAGTGACACAGCCTCTCTGTGCCTAAGCTTCTGCAGTTAGGAACATGGCCTAAGGATCCTACCTCATGGGACCATCCTAAGACTTAAATGAGCTAATGCGGGCTAAGTCATTTCAAGTAGAGTCTGGTGCTGTAGTAAGTATTTAATAACTACAACTGTGATTTATCAATATTTAAAATTGTTTCACTCCCTAGAACTATGTGATTATTTATTAGATAACCAAAATTAATGTGAGTGATTAAGCCAAAAATTTATTTAAAATGCAGAGACTTTACTAATAAGAAAAAATAATGAGGGCAAAGAATACACTGAGGCAAGCAACTCCTTATTAATATATATTTAGTTTTTTGAAAGAAGAAGCAGTCTTAACTCTTGGTACTCTCACGTTCATGTCACCATGGAGAAGAAACAATAACTGGTATGTTAGGAGCGCACCTCCCCCAAAACTTCACAAGAACAGAAGGCTGAATAACTGAATGTGCAGATTTTCACTTAGGAGTTAAACAATTGCCCGTGATTTCTTCTCTCTGAAGAAATATTTTTATATAAAACTATGATTGTAACTTAATTCTGTTCTGTTGTAAATGGGATCTCATGACCTGTGTTCCCTCTGGCCAACAGCACAGGCATACCTAAAATCTGCAGGAAGTGACCTGACTCCCACACCAGCGTCACTAGCTGTCTGGGCTCTCAGCTCCTCTGCAGTCAAAAGGCAGTGAAGGCGATAAAGTATGCTGGGGAGACAAACTGCTTTTCTCCATAGTGATGCTGGAATTGGATGGATAGCACAGAGTTCTGGAACCAGTATCTTTGAGTAAGGAAAAAAAAAAGTAGGTAGATAAATATAAAGCACATACACAAAGAATAAAAAAAAGAAAATTAAAGACAAATTTCACTATTGGATAAAATTAAAGTCATAAATGTTAGTAAAATCTAATTTTAAAAAATATTTTTAAAGCCAGGTATGGTAGCACATGTTTGTAATTCCAGCTACTTGGAAGGCTGAAGCAGAAGGACTTCCAAGTTTGAAGTCAACCTGGACCTTAGCTGAGACAGGGAAACCTTATCTCAAAAAAAAAAAAAAAAAAATTTTTTCCCATAAAAAAAAAAAAAAAAAAAAAAAAGAAAAAAAAAAGAGGATGGGGGGAGAAGGGCAGGTGGGCGAGGAAGGAGGAGGAGGAAGAGAAGAAGAAAAAATTTTAAACAGCTTTCAATATAGCTCAGTGCTACCTAGTTGTCTCTACTACTGAAAAAAATATTTTTTGTTTTAAATCCTTTAAATCCAAATGAGACTTAAGCTAATAATTATGAGGTTGATTCCATGATAAAATTATATCGATGAACCAAGGGTAAAAGCAAAACTCTCAATACTTACTAATAAAGAGGGCATTCAAACAAGATGCAATAAAATTGATTAAATAAAACAAAATGTAAGAGTTGGATAACTTGCTAAATATTCACACATCACTCAGCCAACCTGATAATAAAAAACTGAAACTTATCTTAAAAATATTAAGTTATGCTAGTAACAACTTATCACCTGTTTATTCTGCAGACTTTCCCATTTGGCTTTTCTCTTTTCAGCACTGCTTAGCGGGAGCGCTTTCCCCTTCTGATTCAAATGCCGAGGTGTCAAAAGATTAAGTCTATAAAAATTTCAAAACAATTTTACCAAATACACAAAAATATACTCTCACAATGGTCTTCCAACTTCCACGTTCCTACGAATCAGCTAAAGAGCAAATCTAAACTGTAGACTTGTAAACTAGCCTCTGGACAATCTTTGTACAAAGGGGCCCTCGTGTGCAGAGTCCAGGAGTGGGTAAGGGCACAGTGACCCTCTGCGTGCCACTGCAAGCTGCAGGAAGAAAGCCTCAAGTGTGATCTAAGTGCTCTGAAGCTCTTACCTGGACGATGTGTGGTCCACATCTAGCAGTGGCTGGTTGAGATTGGTCAGGTCAAGATTATACTTTGTTTTATAATATTCTGCAAAAGTTTCATACTCAGGGGAAGGAAATTTACTGAGTGGAGTAAGGTCAGTGTACACATCAGCTACATAAAATCGATGAGGCTGATCAAAATTACGGTATCTAAAAAAAGAAAAACAATCAGTTGCTTTTTTGTTTAAATCCACTATTCTGAAAACAACTGTCTTACTATGGAAATAAAAACTATGACTAAGAAATCAAAGGCAACAGCTAGTAACATTAATGAAAATTATATTCCCAAGACAGGTTTAAAATGAATGAGATCTAAGAACTATAAATTTTTATCAAGTAAAAACTGACTTTCTATTCTCCCCTACTTTACTCTCCTTGTTCTATCTATCCTTTGATAACATGTAAGAATTTTAAATGGCACCTTCAAATATCTACTTTATCAATGGAGATTTTAATTAAAAAGACTATCAATAGATTATCTGAACTTCACACACACAACAAAAACCCTCAACCTGCAGAACTTTAGGTCTGGTTTTTAAACAAGTAAACCAGAGAAAACATGCCTGCTGTGAAAGACACTCAAATGTCCCCTATAAGTGCTACAGTCACAGCTCACAGACACTCCCACGTGAACTTGTGTCTTCTGAAGCAAAGCATCATTTCCCTTCTCATTTAAATAAATACCTACCTTGGAATGATGACTGCATCTTGGTAATCTTCTAATTTAAAAACAAATGGCGTTTCTTTTGAATACTTTGTACTGGGAATGCCTATGCGAGCTTCGGATTTCTCAATATCTTCCATAAATTTAAAGTCAATGTCCAAAGTGCTGGAGTCATTAACTTAGGGAAGGAAAAGGCTCTTTAGCTGGTTAACGTGTAATACAGATAAGACTTATCTAAGTTATACACTGATGCATGTATCTAATTTAGAGTTACTTCTATATATAGTAAGCTAACTACCAAGAAAAAGTTTCATTTTTAGTTACTATAAAAGTTCTCTAAAGCCCAGGACCTTCTTACCAACATTAAGAGGTAGAACACAGTATGCTGAATCAGCATCTGTAGGTTTAAATTCTAGTGCAGGTTTTTCAAGCCGAAGAATATGTGAGAATATATACTGGTGAAGTCTTGTAATCAACTCAAGCATTTGCAGAGACAAAGTGAAGCCAGATTTCTTCAACTCAATGGATATGGTAACTTCTCCAGAGCGTGTGTATACAGGAAAGTGCGGAATCTTAGGAAAAAGAAAAGCAACCCTTAATACATCAGCAGGTATTTTATTCCATTACAATTAACTTCAGAAGAGAACGTTTACTACAAGGAGAGCAGAAGAGATACTTGAAACTGTATTAAATACTATGACATAACAAAGGCACTTACTGCTAGATTCCTACCTTTTCCAAAATAGTAAAAAACAAACAAACAAACAAACAAAAAACCCTAAAGCCATGGTTTCTTCAACACTAACAGTCATTAGGAAGGGACTACCTGAGGTATGGGTTTGGCTGTCAGTATCCCAAAGCACCTCGTGGTATCTTCCGGGGGATAGAGCTTCCGCCTTCTGAAGTTGAGCTCGTCGGGTAATGGAGTAGTTAAGACCATTCCTATCACATACAGGTAACAAGGCTGACTGGGTTTAGGGTAACTGTCCCTTAAACACTCTGGAATCTAGAGATGGAAAGAAAAATTAAGCATCATGTTCAAGTACAAGTGGCCACTATTCCAGATGTTAGCAAAAAAAGAAATTTATTCCTAGCTGTACCTAAAGCTGATTTAAAAAGCTTTAAAAACAAAACAAAACTCTCCGGGAACAAGACCTCTCAACCATTTAGCTCCGCTGGGTAAGTCAACATTCTTAGGCCTGGGCAACGTAGTTGTCCAAGTCTGCATACATTATAAATACACTGTCCCATATATATATCAATATAGATATCCATGAATATAAATAAACCAACAACATAACTGAACTTGCCAGGGTCTTTTTAAAAATACTACTTATTTGATCTCTTATGTATTTATTTATTTTTTTATCTTATGTATTTATTTTGATCAGAAAATTCTTCTTTCTTGGGCTTTCACAGTATCTACTCACTGTAGCAGATTGAAAATAAAGATAGATAAATTTTTTTAAATCACACATAATCCTATCACTCAAAGATAACTATTAACGTTCTGTTACATTATATAAGCTTTTTTCTATGTATAAATGCCTGTAAATATAAACATTTTCATATTTTTCAATAAAAAGGAATCATACAACAGAGTGGTGTGAGGCTGGGCGTGGTGGCACACGCCTGTAATCCCAGCACTCGGGAGGCTGAGGCAGGAGGATTGCTGTGAGTTGAGACTAGCCTGGACTACAAAGTGAGTTCTGGGTCAGTCTCAACTACACAGTGAGACCCTGTCTCAAAAAAAGCTGACTGGTGTGTACACACATGCAAAATAATCTGATTTTCGTCCCCAGTTACTACAATGAAATACCTCTCACTGAATCAATACCATCATATTTCACAACTACCTCATTACATAACTGAGCCATAATTAAATTTTCTCAGATTGTTTCTAAGCTTTCAATATTAACACAACCTTACAGATTAGGGTCTATCAGTTTCTGAGATTCAATTACAAATCACTACATCTGCACTTAAAAGATATAGAAATATTGCCCAAGAAAACACAGATAATACAGAATGGGTGTAAAGCACTATATGATTCCTCTCAGAATACTTATCATTAGTGGCACTAATCATAAGAAACTGGTCCAATAGAAAAATTGGGTATAAAGGGAACAAGCATTTCACAAAAGTAGGTAATAGTTATGATTTTTGAAAAACCAGTATGATTTTCAATCTTGAAAATGCTTAGGTAGGGGCCGGGGATTTAGCTCAGTGGTTCCACCGTCTGCCTGGCAAGCGCGAGGACCTGAGTTCAATCTCCGGTACCAAAAAAAAAGAAAGAAAGAGAATGCTTAGGTAGACACAATTTTTAAAATGTAAGAACTCAATAACAACTGCAAAAACAAAAGAACCACACATATAGGCTAAGGCCAAAGTACACGGCAAAATTTCCTGTTTGTTTGGGATTTTTATGAAACAAAAATACTGTCATAGCAAATATTTGATACTTCAGTTAAGTAAGGCATAACTAGAAGTCTCAAGAATGTTTAAGTGTGAACTCCGCTAGGATTCCACTGAAATAACCTATTCAGCTCTTAGTGGCCCTCGTCCACATTGGTGACTCACATCTGTGCTTCCACCTTCGCAGGCACTGCCGCCCCAAGAGAACACTTTCACTCGCCTCCCTGTGTCAGTGACAAGGGGAGGTACGGCAATAATCACACCACTAAACTGAATCAAACAAAGACTGTCTTTCAATCATATAAACTCATACTGGGAGGATCCGATCGAGGAGTCCAAGAAACCTTTTGAGGTAAAAAATAACAACAAAGATAGCAGCATCTAATGTGAAAGGGGCTAATCTGAGAGCAGCTGTGAGTCATGGAAATGCATTGAGATCCACAGAGTGGGTCGCATTGCAAAGGTCTGGGAAACAACTACACAGAGGAAGTTGGATTCAATGCAGCAGGAAATGAAAAGACCAGATTTTTATTCACTTCTAATCAATACTGACTGCTTTGGGGTAGCACTGCCTTCGTTTTGTGGAACCTGGTCTCCCTGGAACACTGGTCTCCTCTTCATCATGTAAATCAAGCTCCTCTTCATATTTAACAGTCTCTTTCCCAACTGGCATCAAATGTTCATCCAGTTCACCTAAGAAATTTAGAAAGGGAATTAATGCAAACCAGCCAGACTTTGCCAGTCTGATTCATAAGTAAATAATCTAGAACAGCACCACTTTCTGAAACAAGTAGAAAAGCAATGGAAACTAGTTGTGTGACAGTAACCAGAAATGAGACTTTAGGCAGAGTCTGAGGAGCAGGATGGCAGATCTTGTTCTCAGATTCAAAATAAAAATGCCTAAACAGACTACAGCATAGAATCCTTCTAAACAAAAAGTCCATGGAAAATAAGTTCTCCCAATTAGGAAGGAAGGGAGGGAGGGAGGGAAAGTAAGTCAGTTTTATACTGACAGACTATGTTTATGATGCATGATCTCATGGTTACCAGAAGTTACTTACTGTAGTTTATCTGTCTGTCCATTCATTCATGTATGATCCTACACAATTATAACAGTAGTAGGTATTTACCATTGCATTCCTTTTTTATATAATTTTTCCTCCTTTTTTCTTGGGAGGGTTCACTATATAGTCTAGGCTGGCCTCAAACTCACTGTGTAGCCCAGGCTGCATTGGAATTCAGTGATCCTCCTGCCTCAGCCTCCTCAGTGCTAGAATTATGGGCATGTGCCACCATCACTAGCCCTAAAACCTTCATATACAGTATTTAAGAAGGCTTATTAGAGGCCGGGGATTTAGATCAGTGGTGTGCCGCCTGCCTTGCAAGTGCAAAGATCCGAGTTTGATCCCCAGCACAAAATAAATAAATACATAAAATAATTAATTAAATAAAAAGGGTTACTAAAAGAGGCAAATGAATGGCAGCTGTTTACAGTTCAGCTGCGGAGGATATTTCAATCCATAGTACCAAAAAAAAAAAAAAAAAAAAAAAAAAAAAAAAAAAAAAAACAGCTGCAGAGGATAGAGATCTCAGAACCCTGCAGTCTTTGAATTATGTAATATTTACCTTTACACTCACCAAGCACACCAAGAGCAGAAGTCCACAGCCCTACAAACTCCCCAGACACCTGAAAGTCCTTAAAATGATTTTTAAAAACATTTATAATTTATTTTTTACATGTTTCTCAAGCATTTACTTACCAATTTTGTGCAGTTTTTCACAGCAAATGAGCGCTACAACTCTTTCAGCCAATCGTACACAGCTCATTGGTGGACCCTGCAGACAACAAAAAACTTTTCCATTCCAAGTCCACTGCTATATTATCACTGACACATGCAATCCCCACGTAACTGTGCCCTACTATCTCCAAAGCTCACTCTACCCAAAGGTACTTACTTCAAAATATCCAACTTTAAAAATACTGCCTTTTAAAAAAGGTCATGACTATGATTTTATAATTTTGATAAATTTAAATAAAAAATACCTTAGACTATAACCATAACAAAGATTAACAGTACTAAGCTGCTTTCTGTGTGCAATAGAATTAGTCATAGAGTATTTGCAAGTCAGTGTTAAGATCAAGGAAAGAACTGAAATTTTACAAAAGGATATTCTTATTTTTTATTTTACTTATCTTTTTAACTTTTTAGAGTACTAGGGTGTGGACCAAGGTCTCCATATATGATTGACAAGATCTATACCACTGAGCTACACCCCAAGCCTAAAAGGCAGATTTCTGAGTAGTTGACGACAACTGGAGTAACCCAACTATATTTAATGAATACTTTTTCACTGTTAGGCATTAAATTACAACTCAATAATGCTACGAAAAAGGTTCACATCAATAAGGAAAACTCAGAAGTCATCTAGTCCAATTCTAGGAATCTGTAAGTTATACAGTCTATTAAAAATCTGAACACAGACTACAAAAGTTTTATAAATTGTTTTAAAAATAATTTTAAAATCAAATTTTTAACTTGTATGTCTAAGAGAAATTAGGAAAAACAAATCCACTAGTGACACACTTTAAGAGGTATAATCACTTCTTTTTCTAAACTTACAACAATGGAGGCTCGAAGAGGTGAATTAATCGGCAGATAAAGAGTTGAATAAAATGTACCATCAGGCAACTCTCGGGTTCTACACTTGGGAGCTAGATGAGTAAACGGATCACTTGGTAACCTAGCACAGTACCTGTAAAGAAACAGAAACTCTGAAACTGAATCTACATGAGAAAAACATGGAAAAATCTATACTGATACTCACATCCTAAAGTGTTTTTCTTACGTTCTCTTTCCCCCCACTTGACTGACAATTGCACATGGAGTTTCTACTTCACTGCATCGAACTTTCAATAAGACAGAACCAATCACCTGAAATTGCTGTGTTCGACTCCAAAAGAACCTTTTAGTTTAACTTAGGCTGACCATTCAACTTAAATAGCTCTGTGTCTAGTGTCAGCATACTGCTAGTGCACAAAGTACCGCTTGGGATCCATGAAGAGACTACACTGCCAGTGCTTATTCCTTAATAATTGGACATTTGCCACAACCATCAGGACATGTGTAAAGCAAAGCATCAATGAATGCTCTGAATGGGTTCCCACTGGGCAAACAGGATACAATTTTAACATGGAAATAGTAACTGGTAGTAACATTACAATCAAAGCAGGATCTATAGATTCAGAGATTAAAAAACAGTAAGAATAAATAAATGCAAAGAAAAAAGCCTTTCCTGAACAGTAGAATGCCAACTAACAGAGAAAGAATAACGGGATCAGAAAAATCACCATTTAGTAGCCATCATAATTATCATCAGTTTAGACAAGAGCTACCAATGGATATTACATTAATGAATCTACTGGGAAAGAGAGTAAATTTTATGCAGTCTCGAAGTTTCTACTAACTACAAAGGGATAAACAACAGGCCACCTTACAATACATACAACAGGTGGATCTTACCAAGTGGTCAATGTCACACCACCAGTTAGCACACAAAGCAGCACGGCGAGCCCAAGTGAGACGAACACACTAACTAGCACTTCAGCGCCATGCTGACCAGAATACTACACTGAGCCCCAACTGTGTGGCAGACTACAAACGACCTCCAAGGTGCCGAGGCTGACAAAGCCAAGGCAAGACTCAGGAGGGGAGAGGCCACAGCAGGGTACCCGGCGCGATCCTGGCCTGGATGCTCAGGCTAGAAAGAGCACTCCTGTGAGAACTGCCAGGTCTCTGGGTGAAGGGTATACGAGTGCTCTCTGCAGTACTCTGGCAACATTTTAATTTCTGAAATTGTTTTAAAATAAAAGGCTAAAGAAATTCTTACACATGCTCCTTTATTTTGTATCTGAATGAAATTTATCTTGATTTATAACCCAGGTATATACCTGCTTTTCTTAGTTCTTTATCTGCTTTTCTTTAGCTCTTAGAAATGTCACTAAGTCAGAAAAAGTAAACTGAAACATATTCAAAAGTAAAAATTAATTTATAACAATCTCACTTCATTGCTAATGAAAAATTCAACATTACCCAACATTTTTGGTGCAAAATAACAAATTTCATAATTCAATAAAAAAATGAGTATTGTAAAATTAAATTAAATCCAATTAAATGATGTATGTCAGGGCCAGGGATTTAGCTCAGTGGTTCTGCCACCTGCCTTAAAAGCACAAGGTCCTGAGTTCGATCCCTGGCACACACACACACACAAAAAATGATTGACCATTAAATGAAGCATGGCATTGCATTAGCCTTGCTAAACATTTATTACTATACAATTTTGCTTTTGCAAGGGGGGGGAACCTACAAAAACTTTTCTTCAAAATACAAGGCATAAAAGCAAAGACTGTTGATTGTAAAAGGTAAACAACAGAATACTTACAGATTTATTATGCTTAAATCTTGCGATATTCACAGGCTTCCACAGAAATAGTCTGAGAGCCTACCTATTGATGTGTCCAATGGCCGTGTTGATTGTAACTCGGGGACCCCCGTCATCAGGCCTCAACACATATGGTGGGAAAACATCATCATCATCCACGACAGAATCAACGTCAGTCTCGCCAGTATCAACTGACTTGGAACATTTGTTTCTCAAGATCTGAACATTTTAAAACAGAACTGAGGATGAGAACAAATGTCTTCTTTGCTATGTTAGCTGTCTGCCTCTACACCTACAGAAAAAAAAGTTCTTTTGACATGACATACCCACTGTTCTGAAGCATTTATCAAAACTCCAAAATTGCTTGCTACAAAAAAAATCTCCCATGGAATGCCTCCTAGCCCTAACACATGGAGACATTAACCATGCAACGTAGGTCTACACTGTACCAGACACACACACGACTGTAATCCATGAGGAAGGCTATGGCATTTTGTCTCACTGTCCACACTCGACACAATCCTGACCAGACACCCTTTCCCAGGGTGCAAGATGACCATGTGCACAGCCAGTCTACTGGGACTTTCTAATCACTTGTAAAAAGGTGCCAGGTCTTGGTAATCACAACTTCCTTATAATATACACACTTCATAACCCTGTGAAGACGAGACACTGCTCTGTCAATACACTTTCTGTCAACAAAGGGTGACTGAAAAATACAGCGAATGTTTACATTTTTAAAAATTCAATCAGTAGAAGACACATTGTCATCATTTTCCCTCAAAATACTCCCTCACTTCAAAAACATTTATCTCTTCGTTCTTCCCAGTTTCTGAAGCAGTTCGAGTCTTCTTTTGTATCTTTTATGAGGTATGATCAAAAATATAGGGAATGCTGCTAGAAAGTGCCATCCCATGGAAAGATTGGCGCATTAAAAACATCACAGTACATCCTCATCCTCCCTGCTCATTGGATCTCACACTGTGCAACTTCTAGCTCTTTCCCACGGTCAAAATGGCCGTGAAAAGCAACAATTTTAGATCATTTCAGAATACTGAGGTAACCACAATGGTGCAACTGAAGACACTCACAGAACAGGATTTCAAGAACTGCTGCAGAAAGAAGCAAGGACAGGGATAAGTGTCTTGGGGGGGTATTTAATGGTAATGTGACTTCCGCTGTTATGTTTCCGTCACACCTCTCACTCTATGTACACAAAGACTAACAAAGACACCAAGTTAACTTTTTGATCTTACCTTTTCAATAGCTTTGTAGGTTTTAAGGTCTTCTTCAAAACTTTTTATTTTGTCTGTATCTGCTAACATTATGTAATTAGAGATTGGTGCCCTTGCTCTTCCTTTGGACTGAACATAGGATCGATACTCTGTGGGCAAATCAAAACGAACCACCAAGTTGCACTTTGGTATATCAACACCTTCTTCTACAATACTTGTTGCAATGAGCAGGTTGGTCTCATGTGCTCGAAATTTCCTAAGTACCTGAAAAAAATCCACCAAAAAAGCAATTCTAAGAAATTTTCCAAAGAAAAGAATATCAAAATAAGTAACAATGGTTATCTCTGACACATATCCTGGGCATACTAGGTCTCTACGGTCAATCTAAAGAAGATGACAACTATCGCAGGAACCCCGGTATACAGCCACATGAACTCAGAAATCTTGATTTAATGACAGGAAGTGTTAGCTACATATGAATGGAGAATCAAAGTGCCTATTTTACAGAAATACCAAAGCCACTAATCACGGAAAGCCTTCAGGATGAAGGGGTGGGCTTCTTTAACAAACACAAGTAGATCTGACTACCTACCCAAATGAATCCACTTCTGCAGTCCCACTGATACCCTGAACCTCCAGAATGATAATGGGTGCCTCTGAGAAGGCAACCAAGAGGCCTCCAAAGATTCAAAACTCTTATCATTAAAAGCTCTAACTCACCTGGGATTTAGCTCAGTGGTTCTGCTTCCTGCCTCACAAACACCAGGTCCTGAGTTTGATCTCCAGTACCCCCCTAAAAAAAGCTCTAATTCATCTGGAATTAAAAATGACGAGCAGAGCATTGCTTTTCTAGCACCTCAAAAAATTTTCAATTTAAGGAGTCAGAATTAGTGAAAGAAAATGAAAGATTTTTCACTTGAGATTGAAAATAGTACCACTCCCCAATCTAAGATACAAGGTGACTGAAATATATAGCGAATGTTAACATTTTTTAAAATAAATATAACAGCTGTGCAAGGTGGCATATGCTTATAATCCCAGCACTTAGAAGGCTGAGGAAGGAGGTTCACCCCAAGTTTGAGACTAGACTGAGCTACATAATGAGCTCAAGGCCAGCCTGAACTGTGTAGCAAGACCTGACTCAAAAACATAAAATAAAATACAATAATTACAATAAAAAAAAGACACAGTGCTATTAACATGGCTTAAAATAGTCTCCTGCCCCTCACACTCATCCCATCACTCTTGCCATTTTCTCAAGCACTTCCGGAAGTCCTCTTCTGTAGGTGTCTGTATGAGTTATGGTTAAAAAAATTCAGTAAATGCGCTGCCAAGTACTGAATAGAAAAGCAGACACCTAAACATTATCCTCATCCATTCTATTCCCCAATCTGGGTACCATATGACTTCTGGCTCTTCCCCAAAGTCAAAACGACCACCAAGGGTAAAGGTTTTGAATCCATTCGGGACATCGAGGCAGCCTCAACTGCACAACTAATGACACAAGAAAATGACTTGTAGAACTGCGGCAAGAAAGATGGGTAAGAGTGTTTAAGAAAGGGGGAGTACTTTAAGGAGTTAATGACAGCGTGCCTTTTATGGTAATAAATTTTTAAAAGTTTAAACTTTTACCATATATTTCAATCACACCTTGTGAGTTAAGAAATAACATAAGCTGGTTCTCATATAGATCTATCAGACCAGCTCCTGCAATCCCTAAACCTAGACTATTATCAAACAGTTGTAACAAAAATGTCTTCAGCAGAAATTATTCCGCTAAATTTAAAGAACAAATTTTAATGAAAGGTTTTACTTGCAAGCCAGAACACTAAATTAGCTTTCAGCATATTTATGTTTCCTACATAAAACATTAAAAAGCATGAGAAAATTTAACTTAAAATCTATATAGTTTTTCAAAAAATATTTGAGAGCCAGGCATGGTGGCGCACCCAGCACTCGGGAGGCTGAGGCAGGAGGACTGCTCCAAGCTTCAGACCAGCCTGGGCTACACAGTGAGTTCCAGAGCAGTTTGAAGTACACAGTGAGACCCTGTCTCAAAAAAAAAAAAAAAAAAAAAAAAAAAATTTTTTTTTTTGGACCCAGGTAGGACTTTAAATGAAAAAGAAAATACATTGTAGGGGAAAAGACATCCTCTTGTTTCAAAGCCATATAGTCTACAGGAGTTACCATTACCCATGTTTCATGTTTCTATGATATTACAGCAGTTGTGAAATGCCAATCCAATAAAGGGGAATGAACTAGTTAATGACAATTAAGACATAATTAATTTACCAGAGAGCTTCTCTAGTTCTAATTATGTAAATCACCACAGCCATAGGAGACAGTGGTCTATATACGGTCTGAACAAGTACCCCATATTATAAGAGAGAGAGAGAGAGAGAGAGAGAGAGAGAGGGAGAGAGAGAGAAAGAGAAAGAAAAGAGAGAGAGAGCTAGCCAAGGGGGCTACACCACAGGGAATTCCTGTGTGCAAAGTGTATTTGTGTGCGTTCTGACAAGCGCCACTGTATAGTTACTGATGTTACCTCTTCCTGTTTTCTGAACTCTGCTTCCATCTGTTTGTTCCGAGGCTGATTCTTCCCAATGCCATGTCCAGTTATAAAGTTGCTGCTGATATAAGCCAGCTCTGGATCTTGTTTGCCAGCTTCCTTTATCAATCTAAGAAAATTATATATATTTGGAAGTTAAACAGTCCTGAGGGAAAAACATTTAAGGTTTTGTTTCTAAGGTCTTCTTTAAAATAGAAATATATACATACTATTTTTTTGCCAACATACCTAACAAAATAGTCTTGGTGTTTTTCTTTCTAACTAGAATGGACAGAAATCACTGCCCATGCTGCACCATACAGATCTGTGGACCAAGTACTTACAACACAGAATACATGGCTGATTATACCAACAAATGAAACAGTCTCATTACCTCCAACTTTTGCTTTGGCGATGATGACCTAATAGAAACATGACCCAGGGTAGGACAGCAACTTAACATACTTCCCATGCACTTGGCTTCAGCTGCCTCTATGCTCCTTCCTCGGTGGCCATTTTCACAAGGAACAAGCTTGACACCAAGGGGACTGTCACATTCCCCACCAGATGTGGGAAGAGTTCCAGCCGCACGAGACGGAAGAATGGCTGCATCTTCTCATCTTATCCAACAGCCTTTATTACTGGGAGCAGCGCTCTTGGGAAAGAAATGCCTCCTCATTTCATTGCCAACACATTCTGGTCCCCAGGCAGCTAAACATGGTTTGGCACAACTGAGTGCTGTGCCAGCACAAACCATAGCAGTCCTCCCACCCAGAGTCATGAAAGAGAAGAGAGCCCTGAGCTGCAGTCTCCTTCGCTCTTGCTCCTTGTAGTAACACAAAGTGCAAGTAATGTAGAGCTAGCCTCCTGGCTAAGACACAGCAAAGAGCTACAAAACGGGACAGGATCAGATTACGTGGGCACCGAAGGTTAACAGTTCGTGCTGCCATTACAGCTATTTTGGAAATACGTACATTCAAAAACTCAGCACACAGGATAAATGGTTCCACACCTGACATAAGTGACTCCATATGGTTCCTCTAAGTCATACTGCATAGAATAAATTCCTAATAGAAAATTACATTTTAAAGTCAAACCACTCTTTCTTTCTTTTAAATACATAGGCTAATATCAAAGAGCTGGAAGAAAATGAGTGGATATCTAAAATATCCCCTGCCTCCAATCAACAGAACACTTGCATGTCCAGGCTAGCTGGAGAATTTGTTCTACAGTTCAAGTACTTTTTGTCTAGAATCAGAAATTTCCTTATTATGTTTCAAGGTTTAATTATAATAAATGTATGACATCAGTAACAGAGAACAGCTTTACATGCAAACAAAATGTGCTCAAAAGCCTAAAAATCTGAAATAAATTATCTTAGCAATAACATGTACAGGAAAGAAGGGAAAAGAGTAAATATGAGAAAAGGAAAAAAACAGAAACAAAGTATTTGTAAATGGGGGGTGTGGAGAGGATGACAGAAAGGCAGGGGAATGGGAAAAAAAAATAAGAACCAAGATATATCATGTAAACATACACATTCCCAATGATGAATGTCATCACATTGTATACTTAAAATATACCAATAAACTTAATGAATAAAAAAGAAATAACATGTACTTCCAAATTTTAGTTTATATAAGTATCATTTTGAATGTAAAAGAAATTTCTAAAAATCATTTTAAACTATTCTTAATTAAGCAAAGAGTACACTTCACCAAAACTGGCAGGCTTCAATTAGCTAAGAAATAAAAATACTAATAGTAATTTATTTCTCCTTAATGACAAACATGTCAAAACTGAGGAAAACAGAAGAGACATGACATTTTTTTTTTAATCTTGCAAGCAATAATTCAATGTCATACACCTATGCTGGTAATATTTACAGAGGAAAATGATTTTTGTACTGGATAAATTTAAGAGATGCTTAATCATGTCCCAAAGCCATAGACTTCAGGGGAAACAAGTATCTGTTGTCCTCAAGAAGTTCAAAGTAACTATCACAAACTGCTTAAAGATTTCCTCAGGTCATGAAATGGGTCAGAAATCATGTTTCTTTTATTTTTAAAATGAATTTATATGAACGGTTCCATAATCAAGATACTGTTTTCCAGTGCACACAGGACTGCTCACACTGTTGCTAGTGAAGAGTAGATTTTTTAAAAATCTCCAATCAGAGACCAATTTTTGCAAAATTAAAGTGCCAACTTTATTTAGTAGATATAAAGTTACTGTCAAACTGCTTATAAGAGTATCCATACTTACTTTCAAGCTATGTATGCAACTTCTAGCAGAGGTAAGATCACATTGTGTGTATATGCAAATGCCTCTCCCAAAACAGAAAATACATAAATGAAAATTATGGCTGAAACTTGTGATTTGACTAAACATGTTAGTTAATTCAGACAACTTTTAAATGAAAACTTCAAAGACATAAATATACTGTAGCTTTCTACCATGTACCTCAAATGTATTATCAATAGTACCTCTAATAGTATCCCTTCTTACATTTCATTGTCAATGTGAAGAAAGCAAATACAATTCCTCTATACTCTTACAAAAAACAAAAACAGAATAAAAAGAACTATTCCCAACAGGACAGTACACTGATACTACATTCCAAAAATACGTCCACAAAGAACTGTCAGGTGATTAAACACTCATTCCTGTATATGTTGTCTTTCATTGATAAACCAATTAAGAAAGGGAGATATCATTAATCTTCAACAGATACTGAGGCTATAAAAAGTTAAATTTATAAAAAATAATCTATAAATGTCTACTAAGGTATATGGGGTAATAAAGCATCATGTTACCAAATTAAAAAATACTAGAAAAGAATGAGGGTATGTCAAAGAGACAAAGGAGCTAACTTCAAATAGTTTCCAATGGCCAAAAAATAAGTTAACAGAGTAATGAATTATAATCTAAAGTTTAAAATAAACATGGGGCCGTACTGACAAATACATGCTTAAATAACTATAAATAGAAAGGTAAATAGATAGGATAAAAGAACAAATTTCTCTTACAGGAGAATCCCAAACAATGTATGTGGACACATTGTTCTCAAAAAAGTAGAGATTAGTCCCTCCCTGCCAGGATGGGATAGGCTTGGAAATCTGCTTCCATAGCATAGATTTAAGGGCCAAGGATTTAGCTCAGTGGTACTGGTGCCTGCATTGTAAGCACAAAGTCCTAAATTCAATCCCCAGTACCGGGGTGTAGGAGTAGGGACATAGATTTAAGAAAAGGAAAAAGAAATACTTCACAAAGTAGAAAGCAAGCAAATCCTATCATAACCAAATGATGAAGTTCAGCATCACCAATGTTTCATGTTTATATTTTGAACCCCAATAAATGTGACCAGAGGGCATGTGACCTCCATGTACTCTTCCACATCCTGTAACACTAGCCTAATCCTGAGGAAAACGTCATACAACTCAGAAGAGAGGGGCATTCTTTGAAATGCTTGACTAGTAGTAGTACTCTCTAAGACTGCCAAGCTCATCAAAAGCAAGAAAAGACAGAGAAACTGCTAATACACCAAAGGAGACTTGGGAGATATGATAATAATGTGATATAATCCCTGGAATTTAAAACAGGAAAGCAGAAAAAAATAGCAAAATCTAAATAAAGCTTGAAATTTCGTAAATAAGCAATGTATCAATGTCAGTTTTCACAAATAGTGACATGCAATATTAACAATGAGGGAAAATAGGTGAGGAGAATATGGGAACTTTCTGCACCTTCTTTTTAACTTTTCCATAAATCTAAATCATTCCAAAATTAAAAGATATTAAGGGGAAAAGGGTGAGGAGGAAGTCAGGATGTGAACTCAGGCTTGTCTATCACCAATGTCACTCCATACCAGTAAGTCACATGGTGAAAGGCCTGAGAGACGTTTTCTGCCACTTGATACCTGTAACTGCTGCAGGGTCACAAACAGAACTGGTTTCTTCATCTGCAATATAGTAAGAACATCTACTTTCCTCCTCATGGAGTGCTGTGAAAATTTTTCAAGTGTGTATAAAAGTGGCCTCTAAATCCCTGTATGAGTTAAAAGCAAAGCTGTAAACATGAGACTGAGCACCTATCTATCTACACTGCACAGAGAAGTAGCTGGGATTGATTTTTTATCAGGAAAATAGAAAACTACATGTGTACTGCCAGAGCTTCTATTCCTATGAAACTTCACTGAAGGAGGGTTTTTCCTCCCATTAAACTGACGGAAGGAAAGAATCTGGATTTCAGGAAGTTTTTCTAAGCTTATTAAAAAGCTTACTGGAACAAGACTTCTATTGTACATTTAATTAGCTGCTCATAAAGTCAACCTGAAACTGCTCTTGATTCACCCTATAACACTAAATTCCAGCCACATTTTCTGAAAGGTGATCACAATCTGATCCTTAAAGTCAATAGGAAGTAACTGACTGACTGTGGATAAACTTCGTCAAGCCAATATACCTGCAAAGAAAACTGACATATTTCTACATAAAAATGCACGTGGGTGGATTCTCAGTAAGACACTAAAAGGGTGGGGCTGGGGAGGAGATAAACTCCCATTCTTCTAAGCCCCAGAAAATTTATTCAATCCTAAAATTATCCTCTCTAAGGCAGGGAGCACAGCCATAACTAGACTTAGAACTGAGCCAGCATTAAACTTTTTGATCCCCAAATGCTTTCTCTCCATTTTAAGAAACAGTCCCTCGTCACTCAAGCAGTTCCTGGCTCTCTCCTGGCTGTCTTCCCACTGTAAAGCACCAGTTTCCAGGATTCTATGCCACTCAGGGGCATTTTGACAGTAGAAACAAATGGAAATTTAGGAGTTAGGATATTAGGATTCTAGAACTGTCTCCACCACTGACAAGCAATTTAACATAGAGCAAATCACTTTTCCTCCTGAGGCACTTTTTCTTTTTTATAAAAATAAGTGTGTTGGATTAGATAGTCAATTGAGGTCCCTTTCCAACCTTTAACTTCTGATTTGAATGTAATTCAGTACCTGAAGTTACTGTACTTTATATTCATCGGAAGGTTCAGGCTCAATGACTATGAAAATTACCAGACTAAAAACTGCCAGATGACTACCCTCGAGTCCAATTTCTCATTACTCAAAAAATTTTAAAACCCTTAAACATTTACAAGCAGTTTTTTAAAAAAAATTACCTCAGGAAACATAGCTTAATTTTTCCTCAGAGATCACTACTTGTGGAAAAGGCTTCTTAGAGATCAGCTTTGGTCAATTAATGGATCTCCTAAAAAAGTAGATTGTCTTAAGCACAAAATAAGGTGCCTATTTTGACAGAAATAGGTCTACAACCCAAAAGGACCATACATTAAGTGATCATTTAACACAAAATTAAACTAGAGTTCCTTGCCTGTCTCTCATCAGTAAAAAATTAACCTCTTATGAAGAAGGGAAAGAGATCAGAATCTACAACTTAACTAACATACAGATTCACTGTCACCTGTACTCATTCTCAGAACTCCGCATCTAACTCTTTCCTTCCAATTCAGAAAATGTTATTATATAATCTATAAACCCAAATTATAAATCCAGTTATTCTAGACTTTCTCACTACAGCTCTAAAAACAGGCAAAAGTCTTTCCTCTGCTCTCACACCACAAGCAATAAAGACGACTTCTGACACCGCAAAAGGTGTGAGGATTTTCCCCAGCAAGCAGCCGGTTCTGTGGCAGTGGACACCAGCCAGCTGGATGTTCTCTAATTTAATTCCATTTTGACACTATCTACCTAGAGGTACCATCAGATCCCACAGGTTGTAAGGTTCAGCCCTCAAGACTACTCCCTGAATTCAGGTGCTATTTTAAGCCCTAAGCTGTTTTATCTGTGTGTCCAACCCAGAAGTTACAAGTCAGGATGCCCACAACTTTCTCCTTGGATTTGATTAATTTGCTGCAGCAGCTCACAAGACTCAGAATGCACAATGCAAACAGATACAGATGAAGAGGTCCACAGGGCAAGGCGTGTGTGAAGGGACACAGACCTCAAAGTGAGCCACCCTCCAGGAACCTCCAACGTGTTCAGGATCTAGAAACTCTCAGATCCTGTCTTTAGGGTTTTTATGCAGGCTTCATGATATAGGCAAGACTGCCAGCATCAACTCAGCCTTCCAACTCCTTTCTTCTTGGAGGGTTGGTGTAGGGCTAAAAGACCCAATCCTCTGATCTTGCCTGGTCTTTCCTAAAACCAGCCCCAATCTGAAGCAATGGAGAGTCAGACACCCATAAAGCAACTAATTAGCATACAAATGAAGATTGTAAAGGTTTTAAAAGTTGTATGCCAGTAAACAGTAAGGAGACCACAGGGGTATTTCACAATACCACAATGCATTAAGAAAAAAATTAACATAATATTCAGATAAAGTTTATCCTATCACCCTAAGGATGAGCAAGGTGGTGCAAGCCTGTAATCCCAGCACTTGGAAGGCTGAGGCAGAAGGACTGCCTTGAGTTCAAGGCCAGCCTGGACTACACAGTGAGTTCAAGGCTAGCCTGAGTTACGCAGCAGGACTCTTGTATCAAAACTCAAAAGAAAAAAAGAAAGATTACCCTAAGGAGAAAGCTTGGTGAGAAATGCTTAATACCATGTCTGATAAATGAATATAAAAATTAAATACAAGACAAGGGATTCATCTTTTAAATATAAATTTTTATACTTGTTCTCTATTTCTGTTTTGAATAGAGTAGCATCCTTTAAGACAAAAATCTCAGTTATGCCAAAATCAACTTGGGGAAAGCTTCTGTATTTGTAAGCATCCCCAACACACAGACACCCACATCCAATCCCAAGACAGCAGTACCTGTAAGTTATGGCTGGGACTGAGTGGGGGACCCTGGCCAGTCATGCTGGCTCTTGCACCATTACAATCTATCCCTTCACAGCACAGAAAGCTGCCTTTGTTCTACTCGGAAACAATGTAAACCTAAGAGATTTACCTGTTTAGGACAACTGCTGTGTATCTTCTTTCCACAAAAATAATTCCACATAAAATATTGGTAAATGGAGAAGGAAAATTTGTCTCTGGCTTTTCTTTTTCTTCAATTTCTTCATCCTCATCCTCATCCTCAGAATCACTCCAAGACACATAATTATCCTGATTCCTATTATTGTACCACTCAACACTTTCAAACTGCTGTCGCTCATATGGTTTATATTTGCGCAAGATTTCAAGCAGTTTTATTACTTTAGGAGTTACAAATTTCAGGTCAAGTGAGGCAGGTGAGAAGTGCTCTTCACACAGTGCATGTATTTTCCTTAGGAAAGTGTCTGTAAACAATAAAAACTTCCTGTGCAGCTCCTCTTGTTCATGTTTGATATATTTCTGAAGTTCTCTTACCATCATTCCAGCTACTTTATCTGCACACCAGGGTCCCAGAACTATCAATACTGCACGACAATCTGATAGAATCTACAATTAAAAAAGAAGCAGCCAAATAACAGGTAATAATCGTGTAGCATTTTCACACAGGGTGCAGCTAGAATTTAAGTGTCTACAAGCTGCCCCTTCAAAATTAATTTATCCTACCAATACCCCTAATATTGGGGAAAGGGGTCAGTTGTTTTCTCAGTCTCTGCTATTTCACGCATCTATGCCTAGAATCATCTCTTTTTCTCCCAGCAATAATCTAATAGAAAAGATGAAACTGGGTTTTTTTTTGTTTTGGTTTTTTGGGGTTTTGTTTTTTTTGTTACTGGGGATCGAACTCAGGTCCTTATGCTTGCAAGGCAGGCACCAGAACCACTGAGCTAAATCCCTGGCCCTGAAAAGATGCAACTGTATAATGTTAATAAGATCTAATAAAACTTAATTTTTATATCTGTGACTAATGAGAACTACAGTCACTTACTTCCTGAAAAATTATTCAAAAAAATACGTTAGCAGAGCAATTTTACTTTAGCAATTTTTGCTCTTCCAGAAAGAATGGTATGATTTTCCTTAAACTTTACACATAACATCCCCTAGTCATACATATTCACATGGTGGGGGGTCATTATAATATCAAAGAGAGAAAGATTAGGAATTATGAATGAATTTTGGCCTGTCTACAGCGAGTACTATATTTTAAACTACAAAGGTTAAGAGTGTTTAAAACCTATACAACTGCCTTAAGGCATTATTTCAATGAAAACTTAAGAGCAGGGCTCCTTCTCATCTTTAAGCTAAATCCAGATCATGATTTTGGAGCCTACCCAGAATGTCACATTTTACAACTCTAGCTGAGAGCAGAATAAAAATCCACAGCCAAGCTAAGATGCAGAAATCGCTGGTCTATATTCCAGCCAAAGACACAATATGGACTCAGCAGGAACTCAAAGGGTGAGAAAAACCTAAGCATTGCTACTCTAGAAAAAAATCAGCATGAGCAAAATGAAGAAATACATTCAAGACAGTACTAACATGCAAAAGCAGCAGCAAATGCCCAGGCAGTGGTTCTCAAGCTCCAAGTCGTCAGGAACACTGGAGAGCTTGACAAAACTCAAAAGTCAGAGTTTTTTTTAATACTCAAAACTCAATTCTGGGGACCCCAGCCCAGAATTTCTGACTCAGCAGGTCTGTTGAGGGGCCCCTAATTTGTGTATCTAAAAAGCTGAGGGTAAGGAAGGAGCTGCTGCTCTCAGCATGAGGTCCAACTCAGGATCACTGCTCTCAAGGATCCCATCTCGAGCTGGATCTCTGATGGACAGTAGACTCATGTCCAGATACACACCAGAAGATAGCAGAACACTCATTTAGTTCACAAGTTGGAGAAGGAACTAACTCACCAGATCAAAAGCAAAATAACAAAACTTGAACTCCTTCCTCATACTAAAACAATAACATGAATTCTAACTCATAGCCTTAAAATAAGGAAGCCCTATACTTAAAAGTATAAATATCAAGTAACTTAACCTTCAATCTAATATGATGTATTCAATGAAAAACATCCAAGGAAATAAAGATAAGGCCTTCAACTAAAATGTATAGAAACTAGCTTTCCATTTCAATATTAAAAATAAATAAAAACTTTATTATATTATACTTTATATGTGCTTACCTGTTTAGAAATTAAAGTAGAATCTCTTTCTTTTGAATGTACAGATACATTACAGTCATTGATAAAATTAAGTGCTTCTTCTAATTCCATCAGCAGTCTTTCATAAAGCCCACTTCTGTCAGTAAATGGTCCACAATCCACCACAATCTCACATGGCTGAGAAGTGTATCTTTAAGAACAGAAACAAAAAAGTCACTACTATTGCAATGTTGAAAATACATTAAAACCATTTTTGCAAAAAACAAAGAAAAGAGAAAAATACTAAGCAAATAGTCCAAAACGTTAGCAGTGGGATGGGATCTTAGGTATTTATTCTTTCTGTATTACTGTATTTCTCCACAGAAAATATTTAACATTTTTTATAAACAAAGAATTATTTATAAGATATTTTCTAAAGGAAAAAGGGGAAAAAGAGAGTTCAAACTGGGCATCTACAACATTGCAAGCATTATGCCAGGAACCTTACATACTCTCTATCTTAATCCTCGCACAGGGAAAATTAGGAAGAAAATAAGAGTTCAAAGAAAGAAAATGATTCTAGTAAAACTCCGTCCTGCCTTCCTGTGAAGGCTCTTTCAGCTGCCCCAGTGCCTGCTGGAACACCCGTACTTCTCCTTTTTAAAACTCACTACAACCAAAGATCTTCTGTGTATCTAACTCGTTTCAGTTTCTATTTCCACTCAGGCCAACAGGCAAAGTCAGTCTTCCTAGATCTACACTTTTATGGGTGCCAGGTGTGCCCGAAAGTTTAGAAGGAACACCGGCAGAAGACTGATGTTCAAAGAATTGTATGGATACATTTCATTATTATCTCAGGGGTATTTGTCTTGTTTATTAAATTTAGATTTCCAAGTTTTGCTACCTTAGGCACTGGGCAACATGAAGATCAAAAATGTTGAAAAGATTTAAGAAACTCAATTAGTAATTATTTTTAAAAAGTGTAAACAGGGATGTGGTAGCAGGGGGGATATTTTGCCATTAAGTATACTGTATTGTTTCCACACTGTCTGAAACCTTTAACATTTGCAAATGTCAATTTCATTTTTAATGTATCTCCCTAAGGAAAATTCCTCAGCTTTCATGCACTCCTGATATCATTCCTTCCACAAAATATGAGAACCAAAAGGCACACAGTCGTATCCTAAAAGCACATGTTGTGATTTTAATTAAGAAATACAGTGAGGACATTTTTAATACTATAGTTTTCATTTTTCTTAACCAAAACTAGAATGTATACTATACTAGAGTGTCACATGTAGACAACTAGATAATGCTTAAGCCAAAAGATTACTTAGCAGTTAACTCTTAAAATGCTCTAATAGCTGTACTTCTCCCAAAAACTTGCACTAGTAAAGAAAACATAAACAAATTCAGGCCAGAGAAAAACACAAGTATAACCTTTTAACTTCTACATTATATCTAGTGTTGACTCAGGGAAGTCAAAAGTAGAATATACTAAAGTCTTAAGATTTTTATTTCATATGGCATTGGACATCTAAATTGGATGAAGCTAAAATGTTACCTTTTCTCTCTCCACAAAGAAAACTTCCCAAATTTTTACTGACTGCCAAGCACACTACAAGGCATTTTCCACACATCCATGTAACTGCCCATCAAAGGATCCTCTGAAAACATTGCCAATGCCACTTGGTTCAGGGAGGTGAACCACCCGAATCACACAGCCCAGAATTAGCGGAGCACATAGTCCATGTATGACTCAACTCCAGAACCCAAGTAGTTTTCTCTGTTATACCGTCCTAAGAACCACCATTTGGCAATCTTTGGCTTTTTTTTTAAGACTACAGTACTTAAGGTTGTGATTATTTTGACATGAACTGAGTTTTTTGGGTTTTGTTTTTTTTTTTTTTTTTTTTTTTGGTACTGGGGATCGAACTCGGGTCCTTGTGCTTGCAAGGCAGGCCACCGAACCACTGAGCTAAATCCCTGGCCCTGAACTGAATTATTTAAAGATCCATATTTCTTCTGATTTACACAAGCTCCAGCTCTCTTGCCCCAACTTAAGAAAATCATGTGTGTCCATGAATAAATTACTGAAGCTCAAAACTGAAACATCCTAACAAAGGGACAAGCCTACAAGTTATAAATGGTCTTTCTCAAAAATACGCAACCTATTTTAAAAATAGTAAGATGCCTGTACATATTTTAAAGTATACTACTGAAGTTTCTAAATAAATTAATGTTTCAAAACATCACACGCAACATCTAGGTCAGAATAACAAAGCACACATTTTGACAAAAAAGAACCCATATTTACTATCAAAATCTTTAGTCTCAGGTAATATCAGGAAACAAAAGGAGCTGACATTTGCAACATAATCTGTTAATATAGAAAGGCCTTGTCTGCTGCTTTCTGAAACAAGACTGGATTCTTGTACCTGCATGTAATAAAATTATAAAGAATTCTTAAGTCTTAACAGTTATTGAACAACTTAAACTGGTATCTTGAAGCACTACAAAAGAAATAGAAGGCTTTTAGTATCAGTTACAGCTAGTCTTATTCAAGCCATGCCTATCAGAACTATTTACCTGTCTAACACCACCAGGTCCGTTGCAGTTTCCGCATTACTCTTAAGAATTTTCTCCAGTTTCTGAATCTTTTCTTCTAATTCCTCTGGATCACATTTCCCATTTAAAATGGAAGCAGTTAGTCCCAAAATGCGAGGACATGAAGGACAATTTTCACAGAGCTAACAAAATGAAAGACACTGACAATAAAGACCTCATTTTTCAAGGTCATAACAGAGACACTACCATATTAAAACGTATCAAAATTACTGACAAACACTAAAAGCAATATGTTCAGTGGAAACACCAATATACCGTGGTCAACATAATATTACAGAATTACACAAGTTTCTTTAAAAGGTCAGTTTTTCAAAAGGCAGACTTAGATACATTACAAAATTTTAGTATATGCAATTTACATTATGTTTACAAAGCTACAGATTTAAATAAACATTAATGTTCATTTGTTCATTCATACACTGCAATCAAGTTCCAAATATTGTTAATTAATATTACTGCTTTTCACGTCTTAAAAGAAAACTGTACATGCTCTGTCATTTACTTTGACTTGTTAAGAAATAGTCTAAAAACCTACCTTCATAATTTCTCGATAGGGGTGGTCTAGAATCGCAAGATGACACTCATCAAATACCAGGAGATTAATGTCTGATAATGATAAGTACCCATTTTTCAGAACATTCAAGGCGACAGAACAAGTCATAATGAGAACCTAAAATAAAACTGGCATTAGTACAAACACACCATTCACCTGCTGGATATACTTATATGAGATCAGATCATGGAAGCCACTGTATCACAGGTGAGAATTGAGATATTCATTGGTCAAAAATTTTTTAAAATTCTAAATGTATACCAGTGATGACGAATCTATAGCACTCACACCAGAGCAGGCTGACTGCTATGGTTGAAAGCTCTAAAAGGTTTACCATCACTGGTACAGACATTCAGACATTGGAATCAAGAATCAAGGAAAACATGGGAAAAGATTATGAGTAAACAATTCTGGATAAGTGAGAACTTTTTTTTTATAATAAATCTACCAAACCTACTTCAGACCATATTTTGACTGATAAGACCCGTTAATTTAGTCAAATCACAAAACAATTCACTGTTTTTACTTTTTACCCCCTCTACTAATCTGGCAAGGTTTTCTGGGTGACTAACTATTCATGTTATAGTCTGTGATTCTGTGGTTATATAAGTGCTTTATTTATTCCAATATGTGAGAAATACTAGTTGGCTGCAGGCTGTTCATAAAGTTAGTAGGAAGCAGATCCTCACCACTCTGTATCTCCCAGCACCACACCTAAAGACCCTCAGAATATGCTGCCCATGTAGAAAAATGAACTTAGAGGAAATCTGCACCAAAGATTGAAAGTCAGCAAAAAAATTTGTCTAGTTTCAATATATTTAACTCAAGAGTAAATTTTCTAAAAGCAGATTATCTGCAAGTTGGAAAAAGTTACAGGAATTTGTTTTTCAAGTAAGTAAATAACTACGAATGTTGATTTCTTTTCCTACAGATTAAAAGCAATGCAAATTAGTAATTTACATGATGGTCAAACCAGAGCAAGCACACAAGGGCTCTTCTTTAGGCTGAGAAAGAGCAGGAAACAGCTGCTTAACCCATCCCTACGAAGGATACAAACCATCTTACAAACTAAGTCAAGGACTCATAGGATTTATAAAGTGAAACTTTTCTACAAGTCTTACCTGGTGCCTAGTAAACTCTTGGTTCCATCTCTCTTTTGTCCAAGATGAATTCACTTCTAGGTTTGAGTATTCCCCAACCTTTAGATCTGAATGAGTTCTGACAGCTGACACTTGTTGAGCAACCTGGTTCGCTGATTACAAATACACTTTGTGTAAATATGAGAAGTCTGGCCTAGTTGGCTCTTTGGACAACTAATGATTAAGACAGTTGTGAAAATCTTATGGTTCTTACACCTAAGCCCTAGCTTTTAAAATTGCCAATTTAAAATCAAAGTTCCAAAGTCATCCCCCAAAATGCACTTACAAGACTTGCCACTTGGCCTGTCACTCACTCCAAAAAATCTTACACCCCCCTTTCTTCTTCCCGATTGGTTTCCTCTAATCTGAGACTATCCCTTCCAGGTTGGAATGGCAGCCATACCAGATTCACCCCTTCTGCTTTCCTCAGTAAAACCAGATTAGTTCACCAAAAATGAGACCATCTCATATGGCTTTTTAAAACAGGGTCTCACTATGTACTTGAGACTAACCTGGGACTCACTATTAGCCCAGGCTGGTCTCCAACTCACAGTGATCCTCCTGCCACAGCCTCCCGAGTGCTGGGATTACAGGCATGCACCACCACGCCCAGCTCCATCGCATATGCTTTAACGTACATAGTTATTCTGAGACCATCTACAAAAAGGGAAGGCGTGGCACGGTTATATAAGGACCCATTAGCTTAGGTTCACAATTTGTTTATTATAATCCCAAATATACAAAAATCTGTACTTTGAACTCTTACTGAATAACCTATTTTTTGTTTTGTTTTGTTTTTGGTACCAGGGATTGAACTCGGGTCCTTGTGCTTGCAAGGCAGGCCACCAAACTGCTGAGCTAAATCCCCGGCTGAATAACCTGTTTTTAAGAAGCATATAATTTTCTTTCACAAAATTATAAATCAAAAAGTATGCACCTCATAATCTAGCACATACTTTGGGTGAAAATAAACTATCAAGAATAAAAATAACTATAACTTAGATTAGATTATGTTCCTAAAGTAATTCATTCAAAAGAAATGCAGGATTACAGCAACTGAAATACTATAAAGAAACAAAATACTTCTAACAGAGCTTCACATTACTGTGTCCAACTCTCTTCACTTTCAATAATTTAACTTAATATCCACTGAGACAATCTGCTTAAACATAAAACTTCATCCAATTTCCTCCACACAATTGATAAAATAATTTTTTATTACCAGAGTTGACCAAGAACACAGTCCTCTTTCCATTTGGGCTGAAGTCTCCCCTGATCTGATAGGACAGCTCTTTAGTGAGTAGTACTGCAATAAATGTCTTCCCTGAGCCAGTGTTTAAACAGACGATGGTATTATGATCCAGAGCTGCTTCAAGCAGTTCAACCTAGAAATATGGTGGAGAAAAAGATTATATAATCTGTCCTAGGTACAAAATCTAGAAAATTGAATTCTATTTTAAATCAGGAAATTTCACTATTTCTAAAATCTTCCTCCAATAACTTTGCCCAAAAGAGAAAACCTTTCTATAACTTTATACAATAATAAACAGAAACAAAATGCTTGTATACAGCTGTACTATAAAAACATGCTGAAATGGCACTTAAAATTTCTTCATTTAAGAGTTACTTTTGCACAGAATATTTCTGTAAAATAATATGAATGACTAAACTTACAATAATGTAGTTCTGAAGTTCATGGTTGAATATTCTCAAAACAATCTCAACTCTTACCTAGCTCCTTAGGACAGACGCACCCAAATGGATGTTAAAGAAGAATAAGTTTATAGAAAACAAATAAGGAACTTCACAAATAGAATTAACAAATCAATTACCCAGCAGATGTTAGAAAAGGACTATTAAGAACAAGTATTTTGAATGAGAAAATTAATCAGAAGAGGGAGGCTTAGAAGGGTAAATGAGTTTTATAAGTCATGTCAACTATATAACTAATGTACCCCATTTTAGTGAAAAATGCTCCAGTATTAGTGTTTTCATTAGTACCTGATATTTTCTTGGCGTATAAATGTTATCATGAATTGCTTCTTGTTGCCATGGCAGTCCAAAGAAAGGACCCATTGGTGAGGAAGCAGGGGTCATGAGCTGCAGGCCTGCCATGCTGAGGGGTTGCAAAGCAGGGCTTTTCATTCATCCAGTGTTTCTTTCATTGCATTTTTGTTCTAGCACAGCTTACTACAAAAGGGAAAAAGAATACCATTACACAACCATGCAGGGTTAAAACAAAAGAAAGCACAGAAACAAGAGAAACATCAGAATATCATTTCCAGAGGCCTTTTGAAACTCTTCCTATAGTTGTTTTAGCTTTCACTTAATTTAGAGTTTTGTTTTAGAAGTCAAGCATTGCATACCTGACCCAGAAGCTCTCCACTTTGAAATGTGTCTTAAAGCATCAGAAAACTACAAAGATGTAAGTACATGAGTATGTGTTGTTGCATTATCTAAAAACAAGAACTTTAAAACCTATTAGTAGAAAATTAGCTAAATAATGTATAGCTCATGAAATACTTTACATCTTTTAAGACTATAATGTGTATCTATATTGACTGACATAGAATCGTATCCAAAATATGTTTTTAAAATAAAATGTGTATAGTATGATGTCTTGTTAAATATGTTAAAGACTATAAGGGTTGGGGATTTAGCTCAGTGGTGCCGCAGCCTGCCTCACAAGCTCAAAGACCTGAGATCAATCCCCAGTACCAAAATAATAATAATAATAATAATGATGATGATGATGATGATGATGATGATGATGATGTTAAAGACTATAAATATATAATATATAAAAGCACAAAAATCGTCTTTATAAATTATATATTACTGATAAAATAATGACATAGCTCAGCACTGTACCTACACCATAGAAAAGATGTAAACGCCTGAACTGATTACATCCTTTATCAAAAGATGATGAACACATAAGGTTATATGCCCAACTAACAATCTACCACAACTGGACACTGACCAACTATTTAGACGTGTATCTTTGAAACTATAATTATCCTAGATAAATTCAACTACTCCATTCTGTGAAATGAAAATTTTTTTATGCTAAGCACTCTTCCATATTTCATATATTTTCTACACTTTTATTTTGTAAGATGACAAAATAAAAATCAGATTTTAAAAAAATTCATAATCAGAACAGAGGGCTAGGGTTCTGAATCTCTATAGCAGTCCACCACTAGCATTCTGGATGGTCAGCAGAATGTAGCGTCTCTGGGGAGGGGGGTCCTCCCTTAGGCCGCTTTGAAGAGTTCCTTGCTATCACCCTGTGAAACTGGACAGAGAATTCCATTCTTTGTTCTTTGACAAGACTTCTGGCTCTTCCTGACATGTTGCATTTATAACCTGTGTACAAAACACAATTAAGGTGTTCTATCCAATGCAACAAGAAACCTTACGAATGGAGTCTATTTCATGCCTAGGCAAAATACTCAACTCTGATTTCAGAGATTAATTCTGTCTACAAAATCAACACCCCACTACTATAAAGTGCTACCTCCAGGAAATGGCCCTAGGGCGCCTTGCTGGAGGTGCTAAGGTTGTCCTCTAGAAGGCAGTTTGCAGATCAGAGTGCAACCATTCTCCTTACCTTTCTCAGAGGAAGATGGCATGCAAAGTACAACAGAGTACTTTAAAAGTACCAGGCCATGATTTTCCCTGGATCTAATAAACTGTTCATTCTGTACTGAGCCAAAGCCCCATCTGCCACTGTTTTCACCCTGTACCTGACATCCACTTTTACAGGTCCTCAGGATCTGTAGGCTCATCAGTCCAACTTTCTTTTTCTCAGGAACAGCTACCAATAATGCATTCGGTATCAGACAAGTATGATGGCACATGGCTGTAACCCCCAGCACTCTGGGAGGATGCAGCACGAGACCAAGTTTGCATCCAGCTTGGCCAATTTTGTGACACTCTGTCTCAAAATTTTAAAAGGGTGGGGATGCAGCTCAGTGTGAAGGCCCTGGTTCATTCTCCCACACTACACTACACAAACACACACACACACACACACACACACAACACACACACAAAAGGTGACTGTCACAAAATATAAACTATGAAAGTGGTATAGCTTAAAGGGGCATGACAACTAAACATAAAAGCTGATCTCAGATGAGATCTCGTACCGAAGAACAATGCCATAAAGGATTATGCCACAAAGGATTTAAACTGATTATATTAAAGGTTAAGTGGTGTGATGCTTTGATATACATAATGAACTGATTATTACAGTCAAGCTAATTAATACATTTACCTCTTTACACTTACCAGCCTTTGGAGTGGTAAGAAAACTTTAAGAACTACTTCTTTAGCAAGTTCTGGTACACAATACATATAATTATTACTAACTACTGCCCTCAGGTCATACAGTAGGTTTCCAGAACTTATTCACTCTTTATAAGAGCACTCCTTCATCAATATCTCATTTCCCCCACCCTCCTGCGTCTGATAATCACCATTCTATTCTCTGCCTGCGGAAGTTCTACTTTTATACATTTCACATAGAAGTGCGAGCATGCGCTAATTGTTGTTCCGTGCCTGGCTTAATTTACTGAGCACAATGTCTTAAATGTTCATTTACGCTATGTTAGCGTAAATGGCAAGATCTCTTCTTTCTAGAGTGAATATTCTCCAGAGCATGTATATGTGTGAGAGAGACTTCTCATTTGAGGATACAAACAAGACTATTTCAGTATTTTAGTGAATGTAGATGTGATGTAACAAATATGAGAGTGCAAATATCTCTTAGCGATACTGATTTCACTCATAAAGAGTTTTGAACAGGTTTTTTAAACTGTAGGTAACAGCAACATTAAAACTCCCTGAAGCTGATAATAAGCACTATCAGAGAATATTCTTATCCTTCGGTAATACATACTTACATACTTCGTGGCAGAGGGCCATGATGTATAAAACTTACTCTTGAATGCTTCAGAAAAAGAATCTACATCTAAGAGGAAAAAGAAAATGAGGCCAAAAGGGTAAAATAGATATAAGGTATGATCAAAAAATAGAGAACGTTTAAATTTTCAAAAATTATTATAGTAAAAGACATGTCACCATTAATTCCTACCTTTAAAAAAAACTTTCCTTTTCTTTGAAAACGCTTATGCTATCATTCTTGCCACTTTTTCAAAGCAGTTCTAGAAACCCTCTTGTGTGAATCTTTTTAGTTCGGCTGTCACGGCTGCCTCGATGTCCTGAATCAGATCAAAATGTTAACCTTTCATGATCATTTTGAGTATGAGGAAGCCCCAGAAGCCACGTGGTGCCAAATCTACTGAACAGGAGGGTAAGGACAAATAATATTTTCACAAGCCTGCCTTTCTGTTGGATGCCCTTGGTGGGTGCATTCACCATATTTTTTATCACACCCCATGAAGAAACTTGCTGCTTCAGAAAGTGTCAAGAGTGATGAGGTAGGTGTGTCTGAAGTCACACAGTATTCTGAGGGGATTATGGCAGTGTCTCTCACTGTAGTAAAATTTTTATGTGTACATTAACCATATTTTATGATCATTCCTCATATTCTGTATCTTATTCTAATTCTTGCAACCTTTTCCTTCATTTCCTGAATAATATTCCTGTGTTTATCTGTGTACAATTCATCTACTGACAGACGTTGGGTTGGTTAAATTGGCCATTGTGAATAATGCAATAAAGACACAAGTGAGGGTTATCTCTTAGAGATATTGGTCTCAATCATAATATTACTGAAACTTTAAAAATTTATCTTGTAACTTAAATAAATACTCCATTCTTTTATGTATCCAAAGCTACAATCACAATGGATTCTGTGACTGTTTCTCAAATACTACTTGCATTTACTCTACAAAACAGCTGGTGCCCAACTGTGTAGTCTCAGTCACACAGCAGCTCGCTGAATGCACCAAGGATGCAGTTTCTTATTTTCTGCCAGTCACCCAGACCTAAGCCCATGGGCACAGGACTCTCCCTTGGCCAGTACAGCTGGTTGATGCTAATCCAATGGCAAAATGTTTAGGACTTTCACTTGGTGGTTGAAAAGAAAGTCTTTCTCTCCCTATGAACATGGTACAAATTATCAGCCCATCTGCTGCTCAAATTACCCTACATCTACAAAAAACCCCAGTCTTAGGATGAAACCAGCACTGCAGAAAGCAAAAATTAGAGATCAAGCTCTCGGTAACACCAACAAACTGCTGGGTTGCTGGATCCACCAACCTCGAAAACCCAGCCTCAATTATATGAGCCAACAAATTTCCTGATTATCCAAGCTAGATTGAAATTTCTGAGACCCATTAACAACAGCAAAGTATTATCCCTCCCTGTAAAAGGTCTAGGTAGAAAAGGGGAGGTAAGAGAATAGAAACAAACAGAAAAGAAAGGAGGGGAACAAGGGAGGAAAGGAAAAATAAAAGTCAGGGATAGACACAAAGGCAATCACAGGAAATTAAAAAGCTCTGTAGGAGAAAAATTCTGAATCTAGTACCACTCTCACCCCAAGAAACAAGGGAGGAGTTACATCTAGAGTCTCTGAGACTTCAGAAACAGAAACTTACTTCTTGTCTTTATGAGTTGTTTTTTTTTTTTTTTTTACTTTCTGCTGCCTGTAAATTTTTTTAAAACTACAGAGGATCAAATGCTTGTTTCAGAAACAAATTAAGGAAAAATCTGGACAGTTTTCCCTCCACAGTCAAGGAAAGACATAAATCTTGTTCAAAAATATGAAAATAAGAGCACAAAGGAGCAGAGGCAAGCCAGGGAAGCTGGCCCAAGACCAACAAGGCAGACCAAAATTCCAGCTGAAAAATAAGTCACTGATTGCCACTGATGCTCGTGCCCAGTATCATGTCCAGACACCAACTTCACCCATGTGACACTCCTACTCCTGCAAGCCAGCAGGCAAAAGGCTCAGAGAAGGAAGAGGTGCAAGTTGATTCAGTGTCCAGGCTACGTTACCAGAGTCTCAAAACACAGAAATCATTTGTTACCAAGATACTCTACACAACTTTTCATACCCCTCCCTACATTCTCCACAAAGTCTGGGGTAAAGACTAGATGGGTTGGTCTCTTTAAGAATCAATGTGAAAATTAAAGTGGGGAAAACACATAGTGAAAGTATACAGTATATCAGCATTTTGGCTCTATATAAAGAAAAACATATATTCCACCGTAAAAGAAAAATTTCAAAAATATGTCAGTACAGACTTGAAGTTTACTCTATTTG